ACATGTACTTTTGAAAAAATGTTTTAAATACATTGTTGCTCAGTTAGGACCATGGTATGTTACAAAGAATCATAAATTCGATTAAGTCGAAGTAAAATTCTAAAGGAGTGTGGCGCTCGTTCTTCGTGCTATTATGTACTGCTCCTTCTACATGTCTTTGGACGTTACTCTGACGAGTTGCATTCAAATGTACTTCGCATTTAGAGCAGTTTATTAATCCACTTGCATGGTCGTAAAATAGCTCCGGATTATCTTTGATCCACTTGTTGACGGTGGCTTCTTTGATTGAACTCTGCGCCATGATAATACTTTTAATCTGGTGCAAAAAAATTATAAATTTTAGAAAACCGTATGAATGTGTTTGTAAGTATGTGAGAGAAAGGGCACAACAGTTGCGAAGTTTAAAAGATCTAAGCATGCATAAATTCATACAGATAGACAGACGGCGGGAAGCGAACTTTGTTTTATACTAAAGTTAAAGCTAAAAAAGAAAATCAATAAAAGATTACCAGAAAATCTAACTCCGATCATTAACCATATAGTCAATCAATTAAAAAAACGAGTCCCGTATGTTAAGCTTCTTCAGTAGCATTTGAAATCATTGTTACTTTATTGTGATTGTATCAAAGAACATCTTAAGTTAAGCAATACCGATTTTAATAACAATACAAGAAAACGTTCTACAAAGGGAAAATCTATTTTAAAGGAAATTTAATAAAAAATTGAACAAGAAACTTACCAAGTATATCACCAATTTCAAATATCCAATTATCCAATACAGTAAGGCCAAATCAAAGGCAACATCGCGCGTATTGATATTTTACAACTTTGGACATCCGATGTCATTGATGTAAGTTTGGCAACGTCGTGCGTGCAGAAGTTTAAATTGTGTAAAAGTAAATTTTATTTAAATAATCACGGGATTTTTTCTGCTCTTTAAAATTAATCTCGGGATTTGAGGCATATCCACTTTATTCTTTCGCTGTATGAAATCAGTGTAAGTACATGAATAACTCTACCTAATTCCGACCACTGCTCATTACGATATAGCCACCTTAAAAATAATAATAATAGTATTGGGCACATTCACAATAAAAACAAATTCTATTTTATGGAAACATTTATATTTATTAAATTAAATTATTTTATAGGCTTATTATTAGCCCCGGCTATCGTAATCTACTAACCGTGCCAAATTTGGGAGTCTTGTCTAAGAAGAACTGGCGAAACAAACTCCAACAAGAAAGGTGAAATAGACGGTGAGTTTTCAGTAAGAAAATCTGAATGCATAATAATTATCACCTTTTTCAAAGTACGTAGCAAGTGACATCTAGAGTCCATCACGAATGAACTCTTAAACACAGATGTGGTATATTTTTTTTCGGAATCTGCCCAACAGACCTTTTCACACGCTTTATAAAAAAATATATAGATATAATATATAGTTAATTAGGTTTATTCTAGACATACTACAGACACTACATATCAAATATCTCTATTAATAGGCTCAGTTTTTTCGGCTTTCAGATCGCTTGTTCCTGAAGAATGCCGAGACGGGTAGCTCACCGCGTATTTATTTTTTAAAATAAGAACTAGCTTTTAAAAATATGAAAGCATTTATTTTAAAGGCAAACAAAAAGTTAAAGTTTGTAGACTAGTGTAATCATCATCGTACGGCGCTTACCCACATCTCGATTGAAATCCGAAAATGTGCTACTGAGCACAGTTCAACGATGTGGCGTGATCTGTAGATTCACTAGCGCGATTCTGTTTATGGAATTTATTCAGATTCAGGTTTCTTTTTTTTACTCGTGTTTCATTACGGTTACAAAAACCAATCCAAGTTTTTTAAATAATATTATTTTGAGGAAATAGGGGAACTTTGTAAAACCACATTGATAGAGTCTGGCAAGCGAAACGTGTCACAAGAAAAGGGCGGCAATTTCAAAAATTCTTAAGCAGTAAACACTGAATGTAGTACTGCAAAATAATTTTGATACTTTTATTAATTATATTTAATCTTAACATTTAGATATCAATTAAAATTATTTGTTTTGGAACATTTGACTAAAGCGTGACTGTTCTTAATTGTACAGTTAACAGCATATCAATAGGCCTATTCACTAACTCAACTGACAACCAAGAATCGTCATCACCGTAAAAAATAGACACTTTGATTGTGTCAAAATCACTATTTCGTATTCTCTATCAATGATGAGCAATTTCGAAATGTCAATATCGGCATTCTCCACTGGACTCCATTTTGACACTTGATTTCGTATCGATAAACTGTATTAAAGTAACATTGTTGCAAAGCATATTTGAAGTCGTCGCATAGTACCTCTTAAGCCATTTGTTGTTAAATTAAAGCGAAAAAAAATACGTATCCAATATTTTTCTATTATCTGACTGACGGACTAAATCGAATCTTTTTTTTAACCCATTCGTTATACCTATTGGCTAACAGCACTTATAATATTAAAAATTCATATTTGTCATTAATTAAAAGGGTGTTTTTTGCAACGACTTCTTTGTTTTTTTGTAATGAATATGGGCGACTCTGGCCACATTTTTTTAATAAATGTGATGTTAGCCAATTTTGATTTCTGGCCCTTATATTTATAATGTGTTCATAACACATACATGTCTCCTAAGGGATTTTCATCACAACCTTTTGCTCTGATCCAGAACCACTATCTATCAAATTAAATTAGTCAATATAAACACCAGATTACAATAAAAAAAACATTTATTTTTGTTACAATTAAGTGCCATGGATAAATTACATAATACAGGTGTCACAAAATCATCATGTTAATCACAATAGAAAATTTAAGATAAGATTTTGACTATGAATCAGACTAAAAATACTTTAGTCTGATTCATAGTCAAAATCTGTTTCTAAATATTCTACGCCTGATAACAATGACAAGGAATCATCAGAGTCACTCTCTTCACTACTGTCTGCACCAACAGATATAATAAATTTTTCAAGTTCGTTTTCAACAATGCCATCTTTTAATTTGTAATCATTTTCGACATTTAAAACATGATCAGTGTATTTCTTCCAGTCACTAGGGGTAATTAAGTTAAAACACTCTATTATTAAGTTTTCCATTTCCTTTCCTGGTATTCCAATGTTTCTGCTTGCAATTTTTCTTTTTGCTTGACTCCAAACCATCTCTATTGGGTTTAAGTCACAATGATACGGTGGCAGCAATAAAAGTTCATGATTATGTTCTTTTAAAATCTCTTCAGCTTCATATACAGGCAATGTTTTCTTATCATTAACCAAACACATTAACTCTGCCTTTGTCTGATATTCCTCAAAATGTATTCCATTATTTACAAGCCATTTACGGATATCTGCTTTGGTATTAGACATTATAGGCGGTTTATTGATTTGTTTTATATGGTAGCTGGCATTATCCATAACAATTACACTGGGCTTACTTAAATTTGGTATTAATTTTTCTCTGACCCATTTCATAAAGTTCGATGAGTTCATATCATCATGATAATCAGCAGATTTGGATTTACTACTGAACACTAATAATGCACCAGGCACAAAACCTTCCTCAGATCCAGCATGCACAACAATATGCCGTTTTCCAGAGGATATCTTTGTAGTGACACCAGTTGTTGAAGGTCCTTGCCAAGACTTTTTAACTTTATAATTCTGATGTACATAAGTTTCATCAAGGTACACAATTTGCTTTCCTTGGTTTCGTTTTATATTTATTTCTCTCAAATACTTGTGCCTCCATGCAGAAATCTGGTATTTTTCTATAAGCATAGAACGTTCATTTTCATTGCTTTTAAAAGAAAATCCATTCTTAAGCATAATTTTTCGTAAAGTCTCACGGCTACCACTGAATCCTATTGCATCTTTTAATTCATTGTGAAGGCTTCTTAATGTTGGAACAATTTTTTTCACACAGTAAAATTCATTTACTTTATTCCGAATTGCACTTAAATCAAAATTATCTAAAGCAGACACTGTTGGTTGATGAGGTCGTTTTTTCCCAGAAGTGTCCCATTTTCCTTTATTAATTAATGCTTCATTTTTTATCCTTCTTAATGTCCTTATACTTACATCTATAAAAGATTAAACACTTTGAAACAAAGATATGTTAAATGTATTTAAAAGCAAATAATGATAGACACATACATCAAAATAATTTAAATACCTATTCAACTATGAATGCAATTTATGTTTAATTTAGTTAAGTTTATGTGCATATTTAGCATGTATAACAATTACATGGTTTGATTAGTTTCATGAATTCTGTGAATTTCCTTGTTAAACAAAACATTCTTATGACATCATTGGATGTCAACAATAAAAACCAATACATCATAAAAAACCTATGTAAATATTATAGGAATACTATCAATCTATCTTAAATCAAAACAAGAAAAGAGACCTGTCATTGAAGAAATTTTTTGTAAGTACTGCGTTTCCGAATTCAGCATTTCTTGTTTTTCTAAAGTTTTTATTGCATTTATCTCCTCCATTATTGGTTGAATATCACCATCACAGTTATCTGAAATAGAGCAATATTTTATAAAAAATATCTGTTTAGTTAATTACAGAAAATTAAAACGAAAGTATCAAAATTATAATACAAAACTAACCTAAAAAAGATACAACTTTATCTAATCGTTGTAATTTCTCCATGAAATTTTTATTTAATTCAGTTTTCACTTCAGTAAACTTGTCAATCATGATGGAAAGAAGTTTCCTCGATGAACTTTTTATCGGCTTCGACATAATTTTTAACCAAAAACACAAGTTCAAATTCGCAAAAACAACAAAATTCAATATTCTTGAATTGTCTAACGTAGTGTCAAACTGACAGTTCTATGTTGTTGCCATATGAAAACGGAAAAATAGGTGGTGTCACGTTTCGCTTGCCAAACTCTAACTCTGTTCTGTCAATGTCAAATGGAAGTGTCAACAAAAAGTCAGTCAATCTGTCATATTTACAATTTCCTCTGTCTCAGTCCGTCTCTATGATTATTTGTAATACAGTATTTATTACAAATATCCATAATTCCTAAATAAAATTCAGACATGGCGTCATTAGATTTATTAACTCCTCATTTATCAAAGATTAAAATCCCTAACGCGCAACAATTAATCTACAAAGATGAATGCGTGTATTCTTTCGACAACCCGGTGAGTTGCGTTTTTTTTTCCTTCTAACCTCCAGTTTTCTGTGATAATCATTCTAATACAAGTAGATAAATTGATCAAGCTACATTTCTTTTACATGTTTTTTACTTAGCATTTAAATAAATATAAGCGGCTTCATTTGTACTATAATAAACTAAGCACTGTCAATTACATTTTTCTTATACATCATAAACTCAAACTGGTGATATTGAATTATCTTTAAAATATTTTGTATTCATAAAATTTTTTACAGCCTGATAAACATTAGCAATGACATTAAGCAGTGAAGTTTTCACACCAGACATAGAATAAGAACAAAAAATCAATGATATAAATGTATCAAACATTACTGGTGTCCAAAATAAAATACTGTACAATAATTCTCTACTTACATATGTTTTAACATTATGTTTGTCAACTTTCATGTTGTGGATCTTTGTCAATACAATTGCTGACATTGTAATCGGGACAAAATAACTGATAACTGCGAATGCTAGCATATACAAAATCAGACTGTTATTGTCTACATAGCAAATCATCATGCATGGTGATGTAAATTTTGGTTGTCTCAATAGTATTCTAGTTGTCTCAAGTGCATCTGGATAACTACCATTTTCCATATTATTTATTATTTTATATAAATTATTTACAATAGATGTGATTTCTGAAGTTTTATTTTTGTCGGCATTATAATCATTAGCCACAAAATAAGTATTCAATGGTTGAGGGTTTTCTAACTCTATGATGTTGTCAGTGAAATTGTATTTGTGACTTATGCAAGTATCATTACGAGAATCTATCATTGCCATGCAATTATCACTTGTAAGTTCAACTGTTTTAAAACTCTTCTCGTTTACACTTATAGGGAGCATAAATAAACTTAAAGAAAAAGGTATAATCCACTGTACTCCTATCATAAAATAAGAGACATATTTTTTCCAAAACACAAAACACTTCTTCATCTCATATCTTTGGTTGGTGATGGTGCGCTCACTGATGTCATGTACTATATTTTCCTCGCTTTTTACCTCTGCATCCTTCAACATTTCATAATGCATATAGTTATCAATAACTAAACTTATAAAACTGTTCACAAAAGATATAACCAATGGACTGTAACTTAATACCATGGACCAAATTGTGCATTGTGAATAATGACTTGTTGAAACTGGTTTCATTGTCCTCCCTTCCATATCCTTTATATGCATGTTCACAATATCTAATTTATACACAGCACGCATTAAAAATGCCAGTCCAATACACATCAAGAATATATTTTCGGATAACAAGACTGATGAAAATTTGTGTTGTTTCAAAACTCTACTCAAATTTAGAAGACTCAATGAAAACCCACATAATATTAGAAAAGCGCCAAGGTATAGATCTATAGAGTTAAGCATTATGTCTTACTTTCTGACTGGCTCGTGGTGAAATGGCAATTATAAGCCCCTATACTTTTACATTGTTTTCTTTCAATGTATATCTTATCAATATGCAAATTATGAGGGTGCTTTTTAAACATCAGTCTTACGGTATAATAGGTTACTTTTTTATTTCTAATGAGTCTCATAACTGTTAATTATTTTTATTTTATGTAGGCAAGTGTTGATAATAAAAACAATTATAAGAAATTAACCACAGAATTAAGCTCAATGTTAAGAAAGCTGCAATCTCTTGCAGATAATCAACTTATTTTTATTTTTTACATTGGTTAGAAATAAAAAGTAATCTTTTATACACCAACTAGTATGTTTCTAAATATAATTAATAAATTTTATTTACCATATTTAAACTTGCATAAGTTTATAACCACTGTGAAAAAATACCTATTTAAAACTATACAATATTTAGTATTCGTAATGATTTAGCTTTTATAAAATCTTGAATTAGCTATGATCTGTTTAGATTATGTTTGATCATGAATTAGCATTTCGTTTTTATCTTCCTCCTTAAAATATCTCTGTAAGTCAAATTAACTTGATATTGTTAATAATTTCTAATAATATAGTAGATTAGAATCACTAGGATTACTTCAAAAAAATATAATTAGTTGTTCACTAATGATTTTTTAAATAGCCATTTTGAAAATTTGACAAATTATTCCCTTGTTACAGGAATCAGAGACTGGACTTTATGTATCTCTGGTCTCCTTTCTTGGCTTTGGACGCAACTATGTCGAACAATATTTTCAGAAGACAGGCAATGCTGTCTTCCTTCACATATGCAGAGAGAAGAAACCTGTAAGATAATTATAATTAATTCTTCTAAAGTAGACTCATGCTATCCAAACCCTGCCTAATTCTCGTATTAGTACGAGTACGAGAAAGTACGAGTACATTAGGATAAACTAAATTCAAATTTCTCCATTTGATTTCAAACGTTAATACATTGAGGATAGAAAATCAAACTGGTAAGTTACGAGTAATATATGTGGTAGCGTGTAAAAACAAAAAAGAAACGAAAAATCCGTAACCTTACTATGAAATACACTTAGTAAAACATTATTATTTCCTATTGTATATAAGTTACTTGAATAATATAACTCAAGAGGATTTTACGTAGTATTATATAAGCCAACAAATTTGATAATCCGACATGACTCTACAAAACATAGGTACTAATCAATCATAAAGTGACGAGAGTCTTTTAACACTGTTTATCACACAGGTGCCAGAACCAGAGAAGACCGGCGACGGCCCGGAGAAGAAGATAACTCGTCTTGCGATAGGTGTAGAAGGTGGATTCGACCCAGACAGTGGCCGGCAGAAATTCACCTACACTGATCATTACTCTGTAGTGGTTTTACCTGGCTTTCATACTTATCCTTGGCCAAACTCGGCTCTACCTGATGTGGTGAGGATAAGTTATTTATGTATAACACAATATTGATGCTTCTTGCATTTGCCCCGGCATTTTAATATGGTTTATGGTTATTAAAACATATAACTCCTCCTTTACTACACTTACTTACTGTATAATATATATGTCGTGGGCAAATCGTTTAATTGGGCCGATCGAAATCTGCCCGGGCATATCACGATATGCCGCCATCTCTTGATTTGGCCAGGATTTTTATTGATTAAGCAAATAATAATTATTTAAACTTAATTTTATTTGTTTACTAGCTTTCCGCTAGCGGCTTCGCCCGCGTGGTCTTGTATTATACATAAAAACCTTCATTTTTAATCACCATATCAAATGAAAAAAACCCTCTTTTTTCAAAAAGTTTTAATATTAATAATATTGTTATTACAGATCCAGAAATCAGTTCAGGCCGTGATAGATGCGGAATCGCCATTTAAAATTGCCGAGATGGAGGTGTTAGCTGGCACTTGGGATGGGGAGGCTAGAGAAGTGTCCGTGTATGTATCGAATTTTAGTTAGACTTGAAAATCTTGCGAATTAGTCAGTGGCAGTGAATCAAACTAATATAAACGTTTATGGCAAGCGATAATGAACGCTAGAGTATTGTCTGATGCTTGCTTATTTGTTTTGTCACAGTGTATAGTTTAAAATTGCTGAATGATCCATTTAATATTAATTATAACTAATAATTTTCTTTATAACAAGTATTTGGTTGACTGATGAAGAACTTGTTTGGTAGTTTTCCTATTGATCTCCTGAGGTAAACGGAAATAGATCCAAATTTATTGAGCCGAATGAGGCGAACGAAACGAATTTCCTTTACACCTCGCAAAAAAACGACAAGTGACATTGGAATTCTGACAATTCGGCTCGTACTAGTGGTGTGCAGAGGTTCTTAAATTTACGTATGAAAAATTATAAAATGTTTTATCTCACTTCAGTCCCATTGTAATTGGATGGATTTGCGTTTCAAATACTAATAAAGAATTAAATATTAATATGAAACTAATAAAGAAATAGATCAAAAGAAATACTAATAATTTCAATTTAAACTTGGGCACCGTTGTTGAAAGGTCTTGTAATTTATTGATAACTAGCCTGTTTTCCCGCCTCTTCGCTCGCGTAAATTATAGCCTATGTGACCCTCTTATGATTTAGATACCCGTAGGTGAAAGAAGTTTTTATGTCGGTCGAGTAGTCTTGAAACCTATTTGATGCAAAAAAAACAAAACAAACAAATCTTTCCTTTTTATAATATTAGTATAGACTATGTTTGCATCACCTAATAAATCATATTTTTTCATAAATTACTCTTATAGTTTTCTGGAACAAATATGAGTAAAAATTTAGAATTTATTAATGAAAACAATGCCAACGAAATTAATTACAAAACTTGTATCTTTTGTAAAACAGAGCTGTTCTCATAAATCATTACTATGATAAAACTCAACTTGCCATGGATGTTAATTGAAAGACCGAATTTAGCTTTTATCGTTAATTCAGTTTTTATTTCAACCAAAGTGTTATTGCAGCCACGCAGTGAACCTGAAGCAGTTAGATAACGGCATAAAAATACCACCCACCGGCTGGAAATGTGCGAAGTGTGATCTGACCGCAAACCTGTGGTTAAATCTCACCGACGGCTCCATACTGTGTGGCAGACGGTACTTTGACGGTTCGGGTGGAAACGATCATGCGGTAAGATATAAAAAAGACATTATTCGTTATGACTGAAGGTTTAATATGGTTTGACAATACAATTGTTATGTCTCAAACATAAAGGTTTAAAATGTAGTTTACAATAACACACAAGCATCTCTTTATAAATTTTAATCTGTTTGTCAGCCAACAAAAATCCTGAAAATTTGGAATTGTTTGTATACTTATTTTAAAATAATAATATGTGAAGACTATCTATTCATCAGAGGTAGTGTCAGAATTTACGTTGCATCATAAATTATCGAAAAATTGCTTTTTTTGGAGTCGTAAAAAGCGACAATTTACTTTCTTTCAGTGGTGATAGCATAACTGTTACACGTGTGTGGTTTTGAATGTTAGAGTTGTTCTCTTCCTGTTTTTTGAGCTTTTTTTTAATGAATTGTTGATACAGTTTTTTTTTTTCATAAAATATAATATTAATTAGTTCAAAATTACTTTTTTGCACACTGTACTATATAGGAAAGTCGGTCAAGCCAGGAGCTGTGTTAATTCGTCCTACTTGTAAATGGTCCTTCGAGCCGGAGATGTAGCATATACGCGTAGCATAATCAGCACTCATGGTCTCTCTATCTATACTCTTAATATTTTACACGCTCTAAACACAAGGAACAAAATGAATAAGATTACATAAGCTCTTAAGACAATGTTTTTCTTAATGCGGGTAGTCTTTGCCAGTGGGCGATTACTTCTTTGTTACCTTAACAGGGGGTGGGTGTGTCACATAGTCATGCTCAAGTCACTCAGTTGATCAAGAAATTATAACTTAATTTTGATAATAAATATATCGACGCTGGAAAGCAAACACGTAGTAACCTGCAAAACCAAAATGGATATTTATAATGGAAAATCTTTAGATTTTTCCAAAAAAATATGTCTTATTTCTGTATAAATTAACTAAGGAACACCTTATTTGTTACCATGGACGTTTATAGGAATTATTTATCGAAAAAAATCAAAGTTTTTCTGCTTTGAAGATCAATTTTGGTTTTGCGGGTTACTACGTGTTTGCTTTCCAGCGTCGATATACAAGTAAAAAGTGTGTATTTTACGGCCATGACACTCACTGCCCTTGCTCCACTCTTATACCCTATATGTAAAGTACTGTCGCCTAATACCGCTCACTGTTTTCAACCGCTGGAGTTCTAAAAAACTGACTAGCATAAATATTTTAATAACTATCCCACACTGACAGAACTTTAAGCTTCTGAAACAGCTTCAAATTTCACTAAATTAATATTTAGTGAAATTTACAGCTTCAAATTTCACTAAATTTGAAGCTGTTTCAGATGGTTTTTTAGCTTTCAATTCGAACTGTGGACGGTATTAGGCAACAGTACCTTATTATATTTCCAAAAAAACGACAATGGCGCCACTTCTGCCCTAAGAAAAAGTAATATTATATTCAGGTGGAGCACTACCGTAATACAGGGTACCCTCTCGCGGTAAAACTAGGCACCATCACGGCAGACGGCAAAGGCGATGTCTACTCGTATGCTGAAGACGACATGGTGGAGGACCCTTACCTGGCTGATCACCTCAAGCATTTCGGAATTAATGTGCAACAACTGCAGAAGGTAATTATTATAGACGAGTAAATATAAATACGTATTTATCGCCATTTTATTTCAAATGATCCTTCGAACCGGATGTAGTCATAAAATCAGATACAAGAACGTTTTATATTTATGTTAATGCGATAGAAAAGTGCTAACTACTGCTGTATTGTTGCTACACACATACACACAAACACATAATATACTCAGACGCAATCACGTTTATCACGTTTTATTCTATGTTTGACGTTTCTATAAACTTTGCAGAATGTATACATTTGTATAAAAAAGTCACTACTATGCCCTGAAGTAGTTAAGTATAAATATTATCATGTAATCATGTTGACGATAGTGGAACCCTGATGACCTATAATTCAGGTAATATTCTAATTGTTTAACTTCTACATATTTCAGAATCTCAATGGAAACAATAGTTTTTTCATTTGTTTACATCGGATAGACTCCGAAACTGCCGGGCAGATTTAAAACATTCTTACGCTTACGGGAAACTACATTATATGCGATGAACATGGGTTATATCTTATCCCGATAAAAAGCAAATAAAGGGATGAAAATGGGAGTGAAAGTTTGTACAGGGAATTAAACGTTACCATAGTAACCATTGTTTACTATTCAATTTGTCATTGTAATTATATCCATGTCGTGATATAAATCCACATCCAAATAAACAGTTCCCTAGAGACCTCGCAGACGATGCCGCTAGCAGAAAGCTAGCAGGCTAGTTCACAACTTTTATTTTATTTTTTAAATAAATAGTCCATTCATATCTATAATGCAGAAGTAACAGCATGTCTGCGATTAAAGGTTTGGTGATATAGTGCTGAGTTTGTGGAACTGCCGCTAGCCGGCCGATAACGCTCCCTACAAATTCAATGCACTAGCTGACGTCATACTGTGCTACTGTAGCGAAAAACGTATGGGCGTCTGGGCAATCTTTGTTATTTGTGCGTTTATGTTTATATCTGTTATAATGAAAGTTGAAATGTTTCATGTAACTAATGTAATGCCATATGTATTTTAGTTAATTTTTGTTGTATATTTTTCCAACTTTGATCAAGTTTTCGAAGCGTAAAAGTTTTGCAAATTAGTGGTATAATTTTTTTTATTGTTGAATATTTATAGGTTAAAATGGTCCATATATTCCGTACATATAACAAAAACCTGCAATTTCACTTATAGGACACAAGCCATCATATTTTTTACTATTGTTATTATTTAATTCGTTTCAAGACTGATAAATCCATGGTGGAATTGGAACTGGAGCTGAACCAGCGCACCGGCGAGTGGAACACGTTACAAGAGTCCGGTAGCGATCTGAGGCCGTTACACGGTCCAGCTCTCACCGGACTCAATAACCTCGGCAACTCGTGTTACATCAACAGCGTCGTACAGGTAATATTTTGCAATCTAATACAGATAATGGCTCGTATATATTTCTAGAAAATTGCTGGAATAAAATCAGTAATTTGTTAAATTAAAAAAAATGTGGTGGGGTTAAAATGGACACAATTGATCACTTGACTGTTAAAAGTATTTTAAAACTTTTGTATGTTTTTTACTATACCACAGTCAGATTTATTTTTCTCCAAAAAGCGTTATTAAAAAAAAGGAAAACATGTTTTTATTCATTAATTTACATCGTCTCAGTTAAACCGGTTGCGCCATTTCGACCTGTGACGTCACATTTCAATAAATATAAGTAGTGTTAGCGCGCTTGTTTCTTGTAATCCACAAATCATAAGTTAATTTTGCTAAAATAAAACATACAATTTATTTTAATTTATATAATACTACATAGTTGTCGTTTATATAAAATTTACTTTTTCTAACATCGTCATCAATAAATAAAGCAACCATTATATCCAACGACATTTTAAAATTTGAGAGACTTTACGGTGACTATATGACAAAACGAAGGTTTTTTTTTTTTTAATTTTAGTTACATTCAGAATTTAATAAAAACTTACTGTGTGTGAAAACGTTCATAGACTTCAGTCGATTATGTATGACGTGTATACGACCAAATTTCGATGGTCATCAGACTAAAAGGGTCACTGCCAGAATAGTCTTAAAGATATGCCTATTAATAATAATTAATATTATAAATGTGAAAGTTTCTTTGTTTGGATTTTTAGATGTTTGGATGTTTGTCCGTCAATCACGCCGAAACTACTGAACGGATTTTGATGAAATTTGGTATACAGATAGGGTATTAGCTGACTTAGATAATAGGATACTTTTTATCTCACTAAACATTCCCTAAGGTCCACGCGGGCATAGCCGCTGGCGAAAGCTAGTGAATTATGAATCAAATTCCTAGATGACACTGTTCATTCTATGTTGTTTGTCACGATGACGTCATAAATATGACGGACAGCGTTTTCGCGAGTGTAAAAAAGTTTAAATTTCGATTTAATTTTAAGGCATAATAACATACTTATTTTTCCGAAATATTTGTTTTATGGCCTTTTTTTATTAAAATAAACACAAGTATTATTTTAAACAGAGTAAAATAACTACCCTATTCCGCCATAATATTTAAATAATTGGAACGTTGATTATACCTTTGTAGAAATAATAATAATTTAACAATATCAGGTGATATTCCGCATGCCCGATTTCGTGAGGCGGTTCGTTGAGGGAGCACCGGATATCTTCTCAAACTTCCCTGAAGATCCGGCTAACGATTTCAACATACAGACGTGAGTGGACCAATGCTATTTCATTATACGATCATATGCGGACGACTTCGGTAGCAGAGTGCTTCGCACGCTGGTGTCGCCATCTCTGAGGTGCCGGTTTAGATTTCCGGTAGGAAATGGATTTTTCTTTATTGTCTCGGGTTTGGGTGTAGTAATACATTCATTGTGTACTTCATAATCCGGGGGTTTAGCTACTCGCCTTGGGTTCTGATGCAATGTATATGATGTTGTCTAATATTAAGTATATATGTCGCAGCCAACTGGTTAAAACAGCCGTTCAAAGGATGTATATCCTTTGATATAAACGCACTTTATTATCAAAAGTAAGTAATTAAACTTAAAACAATCATAAATGTACTTATGAAATGGCTAGTTATTTTTGGTATTTCAATAATAATAATAAAACTTTTATAATCAAAATATACAATGAGAAATAATAAATTTAACTTTTGGCTTAAAGAAACTATCAATTCTCGATTGCCTCGCTTCTTTCTTCTTAGGCTGCACAAATTTTGTTATTAACATTAAAACCCCACGGATATTGACTTCGCGACAAGTTAATGCTCCTATGCCGGAAATCGAAACAATTGACGTAGTATGCTTGAGGGATAACTTGAAACGACATAAGTCGAGCACACTTACAAGTAGTACTATTTCAAATAGAGTAGAATAGCCTTTTGTTTTTACAAAGTCCTGTTCAATCTACCTCAATGTTTTTCGGGCTACACAATGGCGGTTTAATTTTATCCTAACATGTTCAGCGCTAAGCTGGGCGTGGGTCTCCTGTCCGGTCGGTACTCGTTCCCGGGCGAGGAGGGGGGCCGGCAGCCGGGCGTGTCCCCCCACATGTACCGCCACCTGGTGGGCCGCGCCCATCCGGAGTTCAGCACCAAGCGGCAGCAGGACGCAAACGAGTTCTACCTCCATCTGCTCACGCTCATTGAGGTAACGTGCCCGGTCTAATCGGTATCTTATACCGTTGTGTCATTCCCGCTCCATATCGTTTGTCAATCCCGCCCCATATCTTGTGTCCTTCCCGGGACATATCGGGAGTTTTTCATGTCCCATATCGTGTGTCATTCTCGCCCAAGACCGTGCGGCATTCACGTCCTATATCGTATGTCAATCTCGCTCTATATCGTGTGTCATTTCCGCCCCAGTTCGTGTGTCATTCCTCCCCCATATCATGTGTCAATCCCGCCCCATATCATGTGTCAATCCCGCCCTATATGGTGTGTCAATCCCGCCTCATATCGTGTGTCGATCCTGCTCCATATCGTGTGTGAATTTGGTCTCATACTACTGTGTCATTACTAGACCCCGTTATCGCAAGTGCAATTTATAACTGAAAGTTTTTAAATATGGTTAAAAATATCGACATCGTAAATATTTCTATCATCCTAAAAACGTCAAGCTATTGCACTTCCGTTATAGTCATTATCGCCTTATGCCAGAGTGCCATTCCTATCGCATAACTTCTTGACCTCCACCCCATACCATTGTTTAATATAATGAAATCACAGCCTCATACCATAGAACTGTATCATATTCGTTCTACACCAGCGTATCATCATTGCCCCATATAATTTTGTTATATTCGCTCTCACCACTGGCATCATTACCGTAGACCGTTGTTTTGTACTATACCCATACTTTGTGTCATCATCGTCACATACCAGTGTGTCAACACCGTCTCATATCATTGAGTCATATTCTAATACTGTTTATCATATTTAATCAGAAAAATAAGATTATTAAACTTTTTTATATTCTATGAGCTCTTGTCGCATAAAATAAAAAATGAAAATATTTTTATTCAGGTAAGTTTCCTACAGGCACTTTTGAATGGTCTAAAAAAAATTTTTTCCTCTACCACTTGTCCAGGACTTCTTTTAGCTGACAAGAAGAACAAACGAAAGAAACTTACCAGTTCTTTGTCATAAGCAATGACATTTAAAAAATCATGTCAATACCAAAATAATATGTATTATCACAATAATAAATACTACTTTCAAAGTCTGTAGATCATAGTTTGGACATATTAGTCTTTATAGAACAAAGCGAAGGCTGTTAATTCCATGCATTGCGGTCCTTAAAATACTATGCTATTCCAAATTCCAGTCCCCAACTGGTATTATATTAATTTATTCCAATACCTTATAGTTTGCCGTTTATCTATATTAAATAGCGCAACAGTAGACACAAACCGAACCCGGCTGACTGCCTCAAGTTCTCTGTAGAGGAGCGAGTACAATGCACCGAATCTAACGGTGTACGGTACACGCAACGTGCGGAACACCATCTGCCTCTACCCGTAGCCGTACACGCCGCCACTAACGCGCACGAAGTACGACAGTACGAAGCTAGACGGGCACAGGCTGAAGCTATAGGACAACGACTGTGAGTATACTCTCATTTACAGATAAGCATCATTCTATCTAAAAAAAGAATCTTATTTCCGTATAAATTGTCTATGGAACACTTTATTTGTTAGCATGGACGTTTACAGGGATTGTTTATCGAAAATAATAAAAGTTTTTCTGATCTGAAGAACAATTTTGGTTTTGCGGGTTACTACGTGTTTGCTTTACAGCGTCGACATTAATAACTGTCGACATCTTAACTATGTATATATAGAATATATACAAAAATAGGATTTGATATATGTAATCTAAAGAAAACAAAAATAAATTATAACTGCATTTGCTTTTATTTGTGATTAAAAATGTATGAAATCTATTTTCTCCCCACTGCTTTGTTTGTCGCTATGCTTTATCCTTTCACGTTTTATTTTGACTGTCTGCGTAATTACTTTGTGTTACGTTTGCACTATACGCTGATGATTTAATTGTACCGACACAAATTTCCGTACATTGTTAAGTTACCTGGCAGAAATCGCTATCAAGCTATAAGGCCGGCTATTGCACTGTGTTCGTGTATGATTTTTGTGTATTCTTTTTCTATTGTGCCATATTTATTATTATTATCTATGAAATCGAGCGAATGCGTTTTTACACTTGTTGAGTATTTGTATGGGAACGTAAGCGGAAGTAAAAGAGCGCCTTAACAGATTAACTTTAATGTAACGCAGTGATCCGTCATTGGTGGTCCGGCCTCTGATCCCGTTCCAGGCGTGTCTCGATAGTTTCATGAAAGAAGAAATCATAGAGCAATTCTACAGCAGCGCCGTCAATAAGAAAGTCACCGCACGCAAGTAAGTCATTAGTATCGCACTTTTGAACTATGTACTCTATAATCATTATTATAAATAACATTATTAATGTATCTGCAATTTGTTAATGAGCTGGATTTTTTTAAGCTAATCGTAAGGTTACTAGTTTGCGGATAAAATAGCATGATTATATTAATAACGTTGAAACACCTTACCTATTTAGTCCAGGTTTCTGTCTGTTTATTATGTAACTTGAATACATATAAAAGTAGTCGTCTAATATCCTCACTGATGAAGCCTATAGATGGAATCGAATAAGAATAACCCACCACGCAGTCCAATGCGGATTGTTGAATATGTTAATGATTGCAAATGCTACTGGGATCAACGGCTTTACGTATCTTTCAAAGCACGAAGGAACTCAACACAATAAAATTTTGGTCACCCATCCTATGACCGACCCTCGAGAAAAATTGCTTGAATTCCGCCATCGAACTCCTCTAAGAGATTTATTTGATAATTGTATACAGACTAACATAGCATGCCTTAATCATAACGAAGTGATAGCTGTAGTTTAGTCCCTAATAACCTTACAAGCGCCATATTAGTTTTTCATATTAATTTTCATTTAATTTGGACGATTCAAAAGTGCTTGTAATAGCCTACTTGAATAAAGATATTTTCATTTCATTTCACTCCTATAGAGATATTTTTTTAATGACAGGATAACACGATTGGCGACGTTCCCCGACTATCTTCTCATTCAACTCAAGAAGTTCACTATCAAAGAAGACTGGACCCCCGCTAAACTAGATGTAGCGGTCGATATGCCTTGGGAGGTAACAAAACATTTACCATTGCGATTTATCCCTTTCCGTTTTCTTTATGATATAGGGTATGTTCCGATATACACTGCGACCACTGAACAGTATGACGTCAATTTAGTATACTGGAAGCCCGTTCCTTTATAGCTAGTTATACTGGTGACTTTTTAAAACGGAACACAGTCCAGTATACTGTTAATCCTATTTTTTAGCGCCATTTTCAAATTTGTTAATGCAAGGTGAATATAAATATAAAGATTCCCTCTTTTCAAAACAAAATATTATAAAATTGTTTAAAAAAATTATTTATCAATGAAATCCATCTTATAATAAACGTAAGTATTTTTTTTTTGTTTAGTTAGAAACTTATCATTTTCTGATTCTGTTTCGACTGATCACGTGATCAAAAGCACTGCGAGCACCTTACCTCGAAATCTCCAGTGCTCACAGTACAAATATGGCGGCAATTCATGACGTCATAAATTTCCCTAGGGTACTGTAGCAGTGTACTGACAGTCCATAACTGAACGGATTTTTCAGCAGTAAGACCACTGCGCAGTGCTCGCAGTGTATATCGGAACATACCCATAAACTATCTACTATCTAATAAGTTGATAATATATCTCAATACGTTTATAATAGATAATTTATGTTATCAACTGAAAATCGCCACGAATTTCAACGAGAGTAAAAATTTTGTTATACAAATGCTTATGGCTTGTCTACACATAATTAAGTGGTAAGTAGATTCCAACTTTAAGTCCAATTAAGCTCATAAGTATTTACAAAAAAATTTACTTACTACTTATTCCTGTATTTACACGTACTTAATAACATAACACAGTAAAATTCTACTTACTACTTAGTTAAATGTAAACTAGCCATTACTTTTAGTCAGAGTTTGCGTTTATACATTTTCCATCATCACCAGCCCTTTTACGTCCCCACTGCAGGGGCTCAGGCCTTCCTTATAGATGATTAAGGAGGATGGGCCATGACCCTCCACGCTAGCCCAATGCGGATCGGAGGGTATTAGCCGGGACCAACGGCTTAACGTGCCTTCCGAAGCATGGAGTAGCTCGAGATAATAATTTTATGGTCACCCGTCCCGTGACCGACCCTTGCGAAAGTTACTTAACGACTACGATCGCGGGCCGCGGCGCTTATCCACTACGCCACCGAGCTACTCATTTTCTCTTTCTTGATAATATTCAATACATACATTTGAAATTGTAAGAGTAATTTAATTAATTGTTAATCCATTAGTAGTAAATTCTATTATTATCACTCGTGAAAAGAGGTTGGTTTTTCTGAAAAAAACGCGCCATTTTTTTACAAAACTGCTTTCAAGCAACTTTCGCCTCTACTAGCTTGTGTATAAAGTAGAATTTCCCATTTGCGATGTAGGTGGATCTAAGTTGCTTGCGCGGTCGCGGCTTACAACCGGACGAGACTCAGCTACCTGAAGCATCGTCCGATACACCCGCGCCTACATACGACGAAGCAATACTATCGGAACTAGTAAGTAATTTTCGATGCGGAATGAACACAAAATTCCTTTGCCTAACAGAAATTTGATTTAGAAAGTTTTGCCAAATTTGGCGGTCTTCTTGATTATCTTGAATTTGAAATGCGTGTGGGATATAGCCACAAATATTAAATAAATTGTATCTGAGTAGTCATCATCATCATCAGCCTTTTTTACGTCCCCACTGCAGGGGCTCAGGCCTTCCTTGTGGATGGTTAAGGAGGATGGGCTATTGGAGGGTATTAACGACTGCAAATGCAGCCGGAACCAACGGCTTAACGTGCCTTCCGAAGCACGGAGTAGCTCGAGATAATAATTTCTTGGTTACCCATCCCGTGACGGACCTTTGCGAAAGTTGCTTAACAACAACGATTGCGAGCCGCGGCGCTTATCCACTACGTCATCGAGTTACTTGTATCTAAAAAGTGTTAAAGACTAAATATTACCTAATTATAAATAAACTAGTGGCCGCCAGCGACTTTGTCCGCGTTTTCCATTATTTCTTCGCTCCTAACAGTTGCAGCGTGATGTTATATAGCATAAAGCCTTCCTCGATAAATGGTTTATTCAACACAAAAAGAATTTTTCAATTCGTACCAACTCGTAGTTCCTGAGATTAGCGCGTTCAAACAAACAAACTCTTCGGCTTTATAATACAGTATAATTAGATATAATTACAGTGCGTGTAAATTTTCTGATTAAACCGAAGGAAAGAAGTTTAAGTTAAAAACCGGAGTTTGTTTCGCCAGTTCTTCACAGACAAGACTCCCAAAGTTGGAACTGGGGGTAGATTACGGTAGCCAGGGGTAAATAAATAAGTCATGTATTTATTAAATGTAAAGGTATATATATATATATATTTATTTTTGTATTGTAAATGTGTCCAATTGCGTTGGTTTTGAAGATAGCAATACTTCTAATTTAAAAGACAAATAAACCCTTTACTCTTATGTGAACACGGAACCTGTAAAGGGTAAAAATATCTAAAACTAAATACAAACGCGATGAAACAGTTGTCTTATCATGGATACTTTTCGTTGTATAGTTGGAGATGGGTTTCCCCGTGGAGGCGTGTAAGAAGTCATTGTACTACACGAATAACTCGGGTAAAGAGGCTGCCTCCAATTGGCTGATGGAACACATAAACGATTGGGACTTCGCCAACAAATTCGAGCCGCCAGGCTCACGTCCTGATGGTATTGTTATATATATTTTTTTATACTCTCATAAAATTTTTATACTCAAATTATAATTACTTGGAAGGATTCTAATAAGGGTACTTTTAATATATATTTTAATCTAAAATATCTGTTACATATTTGATACCCTGACTTGTAAGCTAGCTTTGTATTTGTTCACTTCAATCACGTGGTCTGCCAGTTTTGGCTAACTTATCTATGAAATTTATCACTAAAGTTAGCTATCTAATGGCGTCTACATACCATTAGAGTTTCGGTAGTGAAAAATAAGTCACGAAATTGCACAAAAACTAAAATTTACATTGTTAAAAACATACGAGTCTTAAAATCGCACGATTATCTTTAAATTAAAAGACGTGATTTTTGCATGTGTGTCACATGGACTTGCAACACATCCCGCCATTGTGTGACGTCACTGTGGCGGAAACTGTCAGATTATTCATTAAGGTCAGATTATTAATTATAAACAAAATTCCTAGATGGCGCTGTTCTCAGCTTATTTGTATCTTATTAATTCGTAATCGAACGTAAGATGGTATTGTTTTTGTTTTATTGACATCTTTTAATTACGCCCATCTAAAACTATATATGCATAAGGTTTAACTCTATAAGTTCTGATATGAGTAAGAGGGGCGTGACGTCACGCGCTGTTTACGTACACGGGACAACGATATATATGTATTGTCATAATTCATTTGAGCAATATTATTAATTAGATACAATTATCGGTTATATATAAGTTGCACAGACGTCCATTTAATTCTTCATTAGCGACATTACCATTACAAATTTGTCATTAAAAACCTAAATTGATGTTTGTTCAACTGACCTATAGTATATGCAACACTACCAGAAAAAAATATATATATGTATTTTTTCTTCGTATACTGTCTACACTTGTATTCAACATGTATACTCATCATCATCGTATTCAACACTTATTTACACTTTATAACATTTCGCGACTTAGGCAAGTCATAATACAATTACATCATATCATAAATATAAGTATTCTACAAATAAAAAGTATCACATACTAACATTATAAACACCTATTATTACTGATATCAACAATCATACAGAAATATAATCATTTCCAATAACAAGACTAATATTATTAAAAAAAAGTGGTTGAATTTTGGCGATTATACCTGGTGATTGATTTGACACAAAACCCATTGTCCGTTAGCAGCTAGCGGTGGCGCGGCAGCGGACGAGACTAGCGTGGAACAGATAATGGGCATGGGTTTCACTCGAGCACAAGCGGTGAGGGCTCTCACGTCGACGGGCGGCGATATAGCTCGGGCTTTGGACTGGATATTCAGTCACGCTCATGAACTGGATGCCCCCCCCACGCCCGCGGCACCGGACAGGACGTTGGGGTGCCGTGACGGACCGGAGAGTGAGTATACATGATAATATTATAAATGTGTTTTTTTGTCGCGTGGTTCGCACGCCGGTTTCAAGGTGTCGCCACCTCTGAGGTCCCGGGTTTGATTCCCGGTCGGATTAATGTAGAAAATGAACTTTTCTATATTGTCTCGGGTCTGGGTGTTGCGTGATCTTCGTTGTCTCAAATACTCCATAATACTTATTTATATTGTTTAATATTTATTTATATTTAATCGGAGGAATGGATTAGTGTGATTTTTTATATGAAGATACTTACGACGAGTGACGTAGGCTACTTTTTGTCTTTTTTATATTCCCCCACCCTCCTAAAATAGAGGATGGAATTTACTACGTCAACCACATAAAAGAGGGGATGATAGTTTGTACTAGAAAGTTTGATTATTAGTGAACAGGCTCTTTTAAACAAACAAATAATAATACCCCGAATTTGAAACCTTGGGCAAATGCTTGTACATAATAAATTCATCGAACATTAGCTCTCTGTTTAAAAAGGCAACGGGTCCACATAACAATGTAGTGGTGTTGAGTTGAAATAGATTCATTACATTTAGAAAGGTTTATGGGGTCAAAGAAAAACGCAAAATTACTTTAGTTTTATATGACGATGAAGTTACAACAAAGAAATTTGCAATCATACCGTTGCTGTAACTTTTCAAAACTTTATATGTTTACTACATCACAGGTTATTTTAAAGTTGGTTATATGTACTTGGAGTAAGAAAAATATTATTTTTCACAGAATATAAATTGATCGCGTTCATATCTCACATGGGCACATCAACTATGGTTGGTCACTATGTATGCCACGTACTCCACGAAGGCAGATGGGTCATCTTTAATGACAATAAGGTACAATAATATATGATATTACGGAATACTATATTTGTCAACACAGAACTTAGTTAATAGTCTCATCTTATGTTCCAGGTTGCTCTCTCAGAAAACCCTCCTAAAGATCTTGGCTACTTATATTTATATGAAAGGCTGTGATGTACAAAATAATAGAGTTATTGCACCAAAAAAAATGCTGGCATTGTTTACTGTATGGAATAAGGATTTAATGTCTTAGACTGCATAATTGTGTGTAATGTTTTTTTAATATATTAAATAAATATACCTTTTAGGCAATCTTATTTTATAGAAAAAAAATTTTAGAGATTTCAATTAGGAATTTATAAATTTATAAGTATTTTTTTTGGCATTTAAAAGTATTTTCATTTTGCAATTATTTTTGTAAGTTAAACTTAATAACTTAAATAATTTATTTGTCACAAGTTTTGAGTGTTTAATATACTAACCTAAAAGATTATAAAAAGTACGAAATGAATTTGGTTCCTTGCTTCATTATTATTTTAACTTGTGAAAATAGTAGATAAGATAATAAGCAACTGTTGCTGTATATAGCGCGGTCGCCGAACAGAGAATTTCGTACAATGACTGCATCTCTTTCGGTTGTGCTCAAACATATTGCTATTACGCTCGCACAGTTGCATGTAGTTAATTTTGTCATAGTAAAGTGAATCTAAAATGTTTACCATACCTATCTAGTAGGCACAAAGGTCGACATACGGATTTCTTTCTGTTCAGCGTCCATGCTTTAGCAACATTATTTATAATCCTAGCACAATGTGCAAATTTGCTTTTGTCATGTTACTTACATGAAAATAAAATGAACAACGAATAATAAATTTTATTATAATATGAACATAATTTTATTTTTTAAAGAGTTTCATGAAACATGATGGCTCAATATATCTTTAAGCACATGACAAAGTGTTAAGTTAATGGTAAGTAGAATATTTAATAGACGTTACACTGTCTATAGTATAAATCAGGGATGTTACGGATATGTTATTTCAGTAATGGTTACAGATATTTGACAATAGTTACAATTTCGATCACTAATACTAGATATTTGAACAATTTTGAGAGTAAAATACTAATAGGCAATTACTATGTTTTATTTTTAGAAGTATTTCATTTGATACTGAAAACATTAATATGAAATGCTGAAATATGAAAATCTGAAAGCTTATAGGATTGTTAAACACATATGGAACAAGGAAACTAAAATTTGCATCATCTAATAAAAAAAATCTGTAAACATTTTAACCTGTTTAGACTTACTTTATTAAAATGAAGTTTGCACAGAAATATAAGACAATATATGAAATATACAGAAATTCTGCAAGCTATCAAAGTCTTATATGTATTTATACAATAATTACTATAAATGTTCAACCTAATAAATATTTAATATCATTTTGCTATCGTTTGAACTTATCACTTTGATCAGGAATCCTTTTCATAAATATAGTTTTTTCATCAAAGTAAGTATTAAACTTCTTATAGTCTCTTCTTTTTTTAGGGTCTTTTTTACAATTCCCTGGTGTCAAATTAATCATCAGTCCTGGAAAAAAAATTTAATAACTGTAAATTAAAACTATAGGTACTCTTATCAGCAAAAATTAGAAGCTTTACTGTTATTGAAATGCTATGCCCCAAGCACATTCTTTATTCAGAAAACGAGCACTGAAATAAAAAAAAAATGGTTTTGTATACTTTCACATGAAACGGTTTTCTGTATTTGGAAAAATTTATGGAACCTACACAATATAGTTCCGCCATAGAATTGCGCCATAGAACTGATGGCTTAGTTTTTGACTTACACAAGTGCTTGTTACAGCCTAGACTGAATAAATGATATTGAATTTAAATTGGTGAATGGGTAATAACTTGGGAAAACCCAGATAGTTATTCTAATTGTAGGGTATATCACTTTCCAAATAAAGCTTCAAAAGTACCTCAATATAAAGAAAAGTTAGATTTTAACCTGCTTTTTGAGCCATTGTAACCATTGTGCCAATTTTCTTTTGTTGACGGCGGCACAATTTTGTTATACGTCTTGGAAGCATACACCCGTCTGACCTCACGAATTGGCTTAGTATTAACACATCCGTGTGTTTCACATCAAGGCCTAGAGCACACATATAACAAGGTTTCTTCTCGATATTTCCTTCAGAAGGAACCAGCGAAGGATTCGTGTTCTGGGCACGTACGAGTAATTGGGCTCGAAGGGATGGCAGTGTAACACCTTCGATAACTAACTTGGAACCATCTTTTTGCTCTCGCACTAAAAATAAAATAATATTTTAATTTTTATAGGTTATGATGATTTACTAAATTATTCAATACTAAGATATATAGAACACTCATACATTCTTTAATATTTAACTGTTTGGTGGTAACAATCGTTCGAGCAGACGAAGATATATATGAATTTTTCATAAAAGAAACCCCGCGGCGAATTATCGACGCCATGGTTCTTCTTTTAATTTAAATGTGAAATGTCATTGTCATTTTAACAGTGACATGACAGCACCGTCAAAATAGTAGGAGAAACGTTTTGTTATTGCAGGATTGATAAAGAATTTAGTAGAAAATAGAAATTACTTATGGCAAGTTCAGTTATTATTTCCAGTAGACAACCGCGAATTTTAAAAATCAATCTCATAGTAAAATAAAATATCAGTACAGTTCTTTTTGCAACGTTCGAGTGTGTTTATAAGTTCTTATCAAAGTTCTACTTTATTCAAGTATTACTTTTTTTTTCATCTTGAATAGGGCAGAAAGGTGTGTTTTTAAAAGGGTTAAATAAATGTAGACAGACAGTCAATAGCCGCCATCACAAATAATACTTAAAGCAAATTACATCATTTAATTATTAAAATTTAAACAGTCCCATTGTAGAATTGGTTCGATGATTCGTAAGTTATGTGTTTTTAAACAAAATTCTTAGAAATAAGTACGAATTTTCACCTAGAAGTCGGAGAATGTATATATTTGAACTGGTTTATAACATGTAATTAAAATGTGGTGTTTAAAAGTTAATAAAACAAGAGATTAAAGATAATATCTTTATTCGTTAAGCCATAATGACAAAGATGTAAATTTAAAAATAATATAATAAAATCTAATAACGAAAATCGCGATCACATTGTAATATTCTATATTTGTAGTACATTTATTTGCGCTGTAACATATATAATCGTAAACATTTATTATTATCAATATTTTCTTAACATTGATAGATATTTTACCATTAATTAACAGATCATAGAAAGTCGATTCAGCTACTTTCTATGATCTGAGATAAATAAATTTAAATAGATTACACAAATTTTAGCAAATTGAACCATTTTGTACAAGGCGAAACCAGCCTTAAAGTCGGAAGGGAGGAGCGTTGAGATGGTGAAATCCAGTCAGGGCAATGTATTTTATTAATCCCATTTATTACCAAAAATATCTAGTCAGGCTCAAAGGGGGTCATGACCTCATGATCGCTTCCCTGGATCCGCACTTGTAATATTTAATTGTTCTTATAAAAATATTTGAAAATGTAAATAATATGCATCCGAATATATTTAAAAATGTATAATGCACGTTGTTTCACTCTATGAAACTATATTTCAGTACTAAATCATTGATGAAGGCCATTAGGTATATGGACGGCAAAGCAAAGCACATTTTTTTTGCTGTCAACAACAGATAAATATTTAAAATGCATTTAAAAATGCATAATTTTAAATTAAAACTTACATCATTACGATAACTTTACATTTATAACGACAATATGAGATTGCGTTTTGTGACGTAATCTATTAATCATTATTAGAAATACGGTGAGAACCACTTTAAAAGCTTTATGGGCATTTTAAATGTACTTTCATTGGTGGTAGTAGGCCGAGATTTAATTTAAAAAGAATATGCAACGGAGTTCCCTTAACTAACTCCGTGGACGTGACGTCATAATATATGTAACATTAACGTAATAACTCAGCACATTTCTAATAATAATGCTGAACTAAATATTTAACTCATAAAAATGCTTAAACAAATAAATTATCAGATGAAATGAGAATTTGATCGTTATAATAAGATACACTTAACAACTATTTAATAATAACATAATAAAAAACTGTACAGAGTTGTACCTTCACAAAATAATACAACTTACACACAGGTGGTGTGAGTGGAGGGTGTTGTAGGATGCCAAATTACTACTGGATTGATGTTAAGCTTTAATTTGTTCATAGTAACGATCAAAATTGTGCTTCTGTGTTTAAAAAAAACCCCGTGTTAAAATACACATTACGCAACAGTAGTCACTAGAAGCTATAGAAGGTATACAGAGTAATCACATAAACATCAATAATGGATTTAAAAAAACTCTACCGTCAGTATTATTAAGGTTTAAAATTAAGTTGAGAAAATTGACAGTTTTGTATAGTTCGATGCGCTGTTGACGTGATAAAGTTAGGCTTGTCTATATCAATTCCTCTGTATTGATGCTTGTTGATTGACGGTTCAGTTGTTTACTTGTTGAAAGGAGTAAGTCCCTTGCTGAGGAGGCCGGCTGCGGCCTGGGCGCCGTCATGTGTCGCTGATGATAGGTTGGACACAAGCTGGAACAGAAACCATGTCGCAAACCGTTATCATCGTCAGCTTTTTGATGTCTTCCGACATAGGTTTTCATTAACAATAGAAACAAATAATGAGAACGGACCATCAAAACCCACTTTCAATCTATGCGGATTGGGGCTCTCAGTAAACTCAGTAGACATGATATTTGTTTTATTAGTAATTTTTTTATTTATTAGTTATTTATACGTCGTTTTATTGATATTAGTTTAAGCCTTTTTTTCTAAGACTACGCTAACATTGAAGCCAAATAAAAATCGTTCTATGAAAATTAAATATATGGTCGATTGTTTGCAAAATAGAAACATAAATTTCAATAACTGGCTCGATAGAAAAAAATCCCAGCATTTTTTTTAATCGACTTTATGACTAATATATTTCATCTTAATCATCTAGTCTAGAATAACATTAAAATTGAAATGTTTATATCTTTTTACTATTTCTGTGTTAATATTATAAAGAGGTATTCTTAATGAAAAATGCTTGTTCCACTTGGTCCCTGGCACCCTGAGATGGGATTCGATCCCATCTTTCGCAAACCGGGCGACTGCTCTAACCACTGAGCTACCCACGACCTAACAGGGCTGATGAATCTTTCAAACTCTTTTTACTTTATCGCTACTACAGACCGTATTCTCATCAATGTTCAGGCATCCACTCAAACAGCCGAAAGAAATATTGTTACAAATATTTAAACTTTCGATAAAGATGAAAATTTGTTCTAATTATTATATTTGATTAATTTTTAATATTTTTTAGCATTGCACAGCATTGAATGAATGAATGAATACTTTTATTGTACACCATAATTAAACAAAAGGAGTATCGATACAATTTAGTGGTACAATCGGCGGCCTTATCGCTAAAAAGCAATTTCTTCCAGGCAACCGCAGGTTAGACTGGACTTATTACTTAAGTAGATGGGCAGTAGATGGTGTCTTACATGGCGAGAAAGCATGTTTTCATATATAAACATACATACATACACACAAGCTCATACATAAATATGCATATATACATAAAATAATAATAATACAATAATAAATATAACAGTACCTAAAAAAAAAGTATACGTATAGTGTAGAAGTATAATGAAAACGCATTGTAAATGAGAAATTGCTTAAGTATAATAATTATAAACAGGTACTAATCCTATTATAAAAAATCTTTCACCCACGAGAAGCTATACGCGAGGCAATAATTAAAATGGGCAAGGTCGCGAGAAAACAGCGAGTTCGATAATAATCTAAAAATCTATAATTATCCACTTTTTTTCTTTATTCGAAGCGATTTGAACAAATAAACAGTTGGCCTTTTGCCCGAACCGGCAAAGGAGTGATGATTCTATCTCTAATTTTAAACCATTTTGGATATTAGTGACCCGAAACGTGAGTTGGTTATTACATATAATACTTCTACAAATATTATAACTGGTAGTTCAAGTAGTCAGGGTTGTTATTCAGTTGGAGGTGGTTGTGTCTTTATTCTCTTTTGAATGTCTTTGAGATTGTCAATTTATTATTGCATTTTTTTTTTATTTTCAGCAACCACTATCTGTCAATTGTTGAGAAAGGTTTCATCACCAGCCCTTTTACGTTCCCACTGCATTGGTGGTTAAGAAGGATGGGCCATGATCCTCCACGCTGGGCCAATGCGAATTGGAGGGTATTAACGACTGCAAATGAAGCCGGAACCAACGGCTTAACGTGCCTTCCGAAGCATGGAATAGCTCGAGATAATAATTTTTTTGGTCACGCATCCCGTGACCGACCCTTGCGAAAGTTGCTCAACGACTACGATCGCGGGCCGCGGCGCTTATCCACTACGCCACCGAGCTACTCGGGAAAGGTTTATGACGAGTAAAATAAGTAAAGTGAGCTCAATTAATGGTGCTTAAATAAGACATAAATAAGACGTTATAATAACTATATTCATGTTATTATATTTGATCAATCAGGGTGCCTTTTTTTTAATAATTATTTATTCATAGCCATGGATACAAGTCCTTCAGACGAATACATTTTATAAATTTAACATTTGTAATCAGGGTGCCAGAGACCAAGTGGTGCCTGAACATTGATGAGAATATGCTCTGTGGCATCGAAAAAGTAACAAGCGCTTGAAAGATTCGGCAGTCCTTTTAGGTTCTGGGTAGCTCAGTGGTTAGAGCAGTCGCCCGGATGGCGATAGGTCATAGGTTCGAATCCTATCTCAGGGTGCCAGAGACTAAGTGGATTTTTAAGCATTTTTCATTAAAAATATATTCATATTAGTAATTTTGTTTTTATGAGCAACTTACTGAATGTAAAAATCTGTACCTAATTATTGAAATTTGTATTTCTATCTAAAATCTTCCCACAATACGGCAGGGGTTCTCAACCATTTTGGTTAGCGATCCAAAATAGAACATATTTAACGACGGTAATATTTGAGCCTTTCTATTTATATATTAGCCTTTCTATTCAGATATACATACCGCGTCCCTCTTCTCGCTGAGGTATTTGTCAGTCTCCTTGATCTTGGCATCGACGACGTGGCTAGCGTTCTTGAGTCCCTCATCGGTGGCGTGCTCGACTCTCTTCAGTGTATTGTCGACGGTACTGTTCACTGCGTTGGACGCGTCGGCAGCTGCCTTTTCTGCTGCTTTTTTGGATTCTTCTACAGCTACATCTGGAAGAATACATAGACTTTGAAGGCTTCCTTTATCTCTGATGACAACATTTCATATCATCTCGATACTACAGTATACAATTTATTACATTACATGTCCAAAGCATCCACTGCAATTTTTAAATTCCTGATTAACTATTTTAAAAATAGGCTTTTCAACATTTAATCTGCAGGTCGATTCTGCTAATAATCGCGTCTCAATAGAATTTAACGGCCAAAGATTTAATATTATTACTGCAATGTCAACCCTCACACATCAATAGTGACAATAGTGACAGATACTTATAGGTATAATACTCTGGTATAATATAAATATTAGACTTCACGTAGATAGGTACAATGACAAAATGCAAGTAGGTTGAGATTCGACTGAGATGCATTTATAACGTAATGAACAGAATAGACCGCGAACTGTTTGTGCACAGACTATTAGGATGCGTACACATTGCCGGCGTATCATCGATGACCAAACGAAATGATCCCTATAATTTGTAATATAAGAATATCAATAACTCCTTCGTGATAGGCTTATCCAAGCCCTGAAATTATTAGATCATTGAACTATTTATCAATTTGATACAATTGACTCATTATGGTGTAATTATTTTTAATGTCCATCTTCACAATGCTATTGGGCGCCTCTAATAGCTTTATTAAAAATAAGTAGTTTTTCATTTTGAGACTTACTGGCAGCTCTTTTGGCTTCTTCCTTAGCGGCCTCGGCAGCCTTCAATGCTTGTGCCTTAGCTTCTTCAGCTGCTCTCTTTGTGTTATCAACTGTAGTGTGGATGGTGTCTGCGAATAACATATCTAATTTATACAATAATTCAAACGCAACGCGTGTAGGTATTATTTTGTTACGAAGCGTCACACATTATTTTAATACAGTTCTATGAACAAATTATTTCAACACTATGGATTGTTAAATGATTCGAATTACAAAACTATTTAAAAAACCTACTAGCCCCAGTTACTCTAAGATGGGACTCGAGCCTTTCGCAATCCGGGCGAAGAAGATCCGCTCTGAGCCCACCACCTTTTACAATCCGGGCGAATGCTCTTCTCCTTGAGTCCCACGTCAGAGTACCCGGTGATCCGAACTTAGAATTTTTAGTTTCTACAATGTTAAATAGCTTTTCGTATTTAGCTATGATAAAAGTTATTCAATATATTGAAGATATATTAGACAGCTATTCACACGAAACGCACAAACTCAACAATACCGGTCTCATCTTTTGCGTCGTCTAAGGCAATTCGACTCCGATGTACAATTTCGGTACAAAATCCCAGGAATCGTGGGGAGATGAATAAAATTCACACTCGCAGAACGGAGACATTTATTTCTAACCAATTTTAAATATATAAAATGACAGAAATATTTTATTATCGCGATGTAATTCGCCATAACGCCATCTAGACGTCAAAATTAATATAAGTTGCAACATACCGCCCACCAAGGACTTGTCCTTTCTATCCGCCCACCATGACGATATAGAAAAAAAATATCTAGTTTATAACATTAGTTAACAATTAAAATAATCTTATTGCAGAACAAAAATCGAAAGTTTTTTTTTTTACAAATAAATCTCTACAATATTTATGACCGTATTATTTATGCATTATACTTCAATACGGTATGCACCTTACTTAAGTAAATAATAAATTATGTACATATTTTTTCTTTTTAACATGAATAACAAAACACAACATTTCAATAAAAAGTATAACAAAACGTAATGTTAACATGAATTATACATAAATTAATTACACATCATCGTGTACGGGCAAAAAACATAATTTTGAAATTGGACGCTTAATTACAGAGTCCTTGCAACGGATTGAAACCACACGTGTAACATTGTCCTTACCAGGATGCAATTTTTCAATACGGCCGTATAACCACCTAGCTGGAGGCAGATTGTCCTCTTTGATGAGAACGATATCCCCGACTGTACAATTTGCATTTCGAACAGACCACTTACGCCTTTGAATCAAACTTGTCAAATATTCAGAAGACCAACGTCGCCAGAAGCTTTGCACCATCTTTTGCGTAAATTGCCAACGCCGTAAAGTGCTCAGACGTGTATGTTTCTCGAAACTATGATCTGGGGCTAATATTAAAGGTTCCCCGACAAGAAAATGTCCAGGAGTTAGTGGTGTATCTTCTGTTGGATCTAAACTATTTTCTGATATAGGCCTAGAGTTTAGGCAAGCCTCGATTTGCGACAAAACTGTAGATAACTCTTCATATGTCAATGTAGAGTCGCCAATCACACGCTTTAAGTGATGTTTAACGCTCTTCACGCCCGCTTCCCACAATCCTCCAAAATTAGGAGAGTGAGGAGGATTAAAATGCCATTCGGTGTTATTATTGGCTAAAGCGTGTGCAATTTCAACAACAACTTGAGATTTCTCACTGGCAAATAAACGTTTTAATTCTCGCGAAGCACCAACGAAATTTGTGCCATTGTCGCTCCAGAGGTGACTACAATTTCCACGTCGAGCGACAAATCTTTTAAATGCAGCGAGAAAACCTTCAGATGTTAAATCTGACACGACTTCAATATGTATAGCTCGTGTCGACATACAAATAAATAAACAAATGTATCCTTTGGAGGATTTTATGCCACGACCTTTAGATACCCGTAAATTAATGGGACCTGCATAGTCCACGCCAGCATTTGAAAACGGTTTACTGGGGACCACTCTACAAGATGGCAGTTCTCCCATCAACGGACTTCGTGTAACACCTGCATAACGAATACACGAAACACAATTATGAATATAAGATTTAATTAATGATTTTGCTCTTATTATCCAATATTTTGATTGCAAATAACGAAGCATCAGTTGTTGTCCCCCATGAAATGTTTTATTATGAGCATCTGCGATTAATAACTGAGCTAATCTTGAACTATGAGGTACAACAATTGGATGTTTACTTTCAAATGCTAGATCTGAATTACGAATTCTGCCACCTACCCGAAGTATTTCATCTTTGTCAAGAAATGGTGTCAAAGAAAGGAAGCTACTCTTTTTACTTACTTGTCTTTTTAATTTAAGCTCTTTAATTTCATCATGAAACCATGTGTTTTGACATTTACGTATACATAATTGTAAAGAATCCTTCAACTCCGAAACCAAAAGGTAAGCACTTACTGGAGTATTAGACTCACGATATTTTGTAAGTAAAAGAAATCTCCTACAAAATGCAACCACTCTTATCAATTTTCTTAGTGAAGAATATTTATTCCATAACCAGTCTTCATCTTCACTAGAAACAACTGTGGTATGAGCTTTAATTGTTCTTGTTTCTTCTTGTGTTTGATGTGTCGGTCTTGAATACGTTATTAAGTCGTTTTTTAACCAACTCGGTCCTTGTATCCACAGATCACTCTGCAAAAGTTCGGCTGGAGTCACACCTCGCGATGCTATGTCAGCGGGATTATTATTTGATTGGACATGTGCCCATTGTGTACCATCTAACAAATTCAATATTTCGGAAGTGCGATTGGCAATGAACGTCTTCCACCGGCTGGGATGATCAGCTAACCAGGATAAAACAATAGTAGAATCAGTCCATGCATGTAAATTGGACCTAGAAACTCCTAAAACTTCAGCTATTTCCCTGAGCAGGTGACTAACAAGTACTGCGCCACAAAGCTCAAGTCTAGGAATGGAAATTTGTTTTATTGGTGCTACTTTCGACTTAGCAGCTACTAGGTTAGTCCGTACATTACCCGAAGAATCAACCACACGGATATAAACAACTGCAGCGTACGCTACGCTAGAAGCATCACAAAAGCCATGCAATTCAACACTACAATCATCACTAACTGTTCCTATCCATCTGGGTATGTGAAATTCACTTAATTTTATTAATTCGTTACGATAAGTTCCCCACTGTTTCAGGAGTTCTGGAACCAACTCCTCATCCCATCCAATACCAGCAATCCACAACTTTTGAATAAAAACTTTAGAGGTAATTATACATGGTATTATCCACCCTAGCGGGTCAAACAGACTTGATATTGTTGAAATAACTGTTCTTTTTGTTTCAGGTGCAGAAGGCGTCGGCAGTTTTACAGAGTAATCAAATTCATCTGTAGTTCGATTCCAGGTAAGTCCTAAAACTTTTGTTACTTTATCTATTTTTATTTCTACATCTCTTCCATAATCTTCTTTTAACAATTCCAATAATTTATCCGAATTGCTTGTCCACTTTTGTAATTTAAAACCACCTCGCTCCAGTAGTTTGTTTAACTGCTTATAGATTTCAATGGCTTCGCTTTCATTTTGACAACCAGTCATGAGATCATCGACATAAAACTCTTGCTTAACTCTATCAGCAGCCAAGGGATATTCATGACCTTCATCGCAAGCTATTTGTTGCAATGCCTTGATCGCTAAATAAGGCGCACTAGAAGTTCCGAAGGTTACTGTTAAAAGTCGGTAATCTTGAATTTCATCGGTGACATTTTCTCTCCAAACTATTCTTTGGAAATCCACATGATCTTCACTAACTCTTATTTGCCTATACATTTTGACTATGTCAGCAGACAGGCAAATAGGATAAGATCGCCATTTAGTCACTATGTGTCGTAAATCTGCTTGCAATGTGGGTCCTACCATTAAGGTATCGTTTAAAGAAACACCATTTGTTCCTTTGCACGATGCATCGAACACAACTCTTAATTTGGTAGTGCTTCTATCCTCCCTGATCACAGCATGATGTGGCAAATATACAGCATGTGGATTGTTTCTGTCGGATGAGTTTGTTATTTTCTCCATATGTCCAAGCGTCAAATATTCATTAATTACATCTGTATACCTTTTTTTTATTTCAGGATTTGCAGTAAACCTGCGTTCAAGACTTTGAAGTCTTTTAACAGCAATTTGTTTTGAATTCCCATACTTGCAAGGAGGATCCTCAAATCGAAATGGAAGACTCACCACGTATCGACCAGACTCATCTCGTCGTGTTGTAGCAGCAAAATATTCTTCACATGCTTGCTCCTCTTCAGTAAAGCGCTTCTTGAGTGAATAAGGCTCTGGCTCAAGTTCCCATAATCGTTTCAGGAAATCGTTTTCATCAACCTTTGCATGCATACTTACAATAATGTTGTGACAGTTATTTTGCAGATTGTTATCCACTCCTCCAGAAATAATCCAACCGAAGTACGTATTTTGAGCAATTGGAGTACCATGAGGACCTTTCTTTAAACCTTCCTTCAAAATCCGACAATAAGTATCGGCTCCCAACAAAATATTTATTTTGTTAGGGGTATTAAAGTATGGATCGGCTAAATTGACATTATAGGTTTCAGGCCAATCTAATAACGAGCATTTTCTTTCAGGTAAAACCGACGTTAAAGTGCCTAGTACATATGCTTTAATTTGAACAATAAATGAGGGGTCGTAAAGTGACTGAATTTTAAGCATTACCATATATTTAGAGGTAAGGTCACCTTGCCCCCCACCAAGCCCAGATATGGTGCTTGTGGATGCAATTTTTTGTAAACGTAGCAGTTGAACTGCTGCCTCTGTTATAAAAGAGGCTTGAGAACCCTGATCAAGCAGTGCTCTTAATACTTGTGACGACCCATCTTTTGACTCAGCCTTGATAAGAGCTGTGGCTAACAATACTTGATGATTGGCTGTACCTTTCGAAAAATGGGCGGCTATATTTGTAACGGTCTCGTTCTCTGATACAGATTCGGCAGAAGTAGTAGCTACTGTTGCAGCTACGATTGCAGTATCAGTTGGATTCTTGGGATGCAATAAGGTGTGGTGCTTTCGTTTACATATACGGCATTTGGTGAAAACGCGACAAACTTTGTTAGAATGATTGTACCCGAGGCAGTTGAAACAAAGCCCTAACGTATGGACAATGCCACGACGTTGATCAACATCCTCCTTTGCGAATTTTTTGCAATTGTACAATTTATGTTCATCTGAACAATGTGGACAAATAATAGTAGTAGTAGCATGCAAAACTTTTGTATTTGTAAGATTATTTGTCATAACACGAGGTTTGTTTTTGGGCTCTACAAATTCTAAAGCGCGGAAACGAGTGCTTAGAAATTCTTTAAATTGTTCAAAAGAAGGCAAATCATCATTATTATTACTAACCTGCAATTCCCATTGCTTCCGCGACTCGACGTCCAATTTCAAACTTATGACATATATTACAATGACATCCCAGGAGCTAGTGTCGATGCCCAGGTTTGATAACTCGTGCAAACAATCGGTTGTAGTATCAAGAAGTTCTTTAAGAGCACTAGAAGATTCTTGTAAAATATTACGCTGACTAAATAAACGTTTGAGAATACAATTAGAAATGAACTTTTTATTATTATACCTATCCTTTAACATAATCCAAGCTTTTTCATAATTATTTTTAGTGATGGGTAAATGTCTAATTAATTGCTCTGCCTCACCTGACAGTTGTGTTTTAAGGTAGTGAAGTTTTTGTACATCATCAAGAGATTTGTTATCATGCACTAATGAAATAAATAAATCTCTGAATGATGACCACTCTATATATCTTCCACTAAAAGTTGGTAATTTGATTTTCGGTAATTTTAAAACTGATTCACTTTTAGAAATGTCAGATGAAATGTTGCGTGTAATATATTTTTGCTCAGGAATAATATTAGATAATGCAGTTTGAAGCTCTACTTTATAATTCAAAAATGTGTCAAAAACTTCTTCAAATGATCCACTTTTCATGTAACTCGTTTCATCTAATGCTTCTGAAGTGTACTCACTGATCAACTTTTCATGTTTTTGTACCAAGTTATTATACTGCTTTTCCAAAATTTCTAGTCTCGCTGTAACATACTTTTCGTTTATACGTTCTTTCGGTGATTTTTTAAAGTTAATGAAACCTTTTTCAATTTGTATTTTTAAATCAGTTAAAACTCTTAAACTCGCCTCCATTGTTTATGCGATATTTTAAGATAAAGTCGTAAATTTTCTAAGTCAATGTGACACTTTCTTGAAAATTTCTAAGTGTTTCGGTTGCAAAATGGTCGCTCTGAATTCGGGCATGGATTCCCCGTCTCAACCAATTTCTTGGAAATATTCTAAGTCCTAAATACTTGAGATATTTTTCTAAGTCTTTGACACTACTGAATTCACTTGAGCTTTCACTAATTATTGACACAATTGTACTTACAGTTTCTTGACACTTTAACCTTTGTCACAGATATCCTCTTTATTTACTTTTTACTTTCAACTATACTTCTTGATAATAAAACTTTTTCATTTGTCCATAGATTTCACTCTACTACTTTCTTTTTTATTTGCGTTTCATCCAAAAACCGTCCTTCGGCTCGTCAGGACCTTGTACAATTTCGGTACAAAATCCCAGGAATCGTGGGGAGATGAATAAAATTCACACTCGCAGAACGGAGACATTTATTTCTAACCAATTTTAAATATATAAAATGACAGAAATATTTTATTATCGCGATGTAATTCGCCATAACGCCATCTAGACGTCAAAATTAATATAAGTTGCAACATCCGATATCCCGTTGAATCAATTTTTGTTCCGATAAAATCTAAAAATCGGAAACTTTTACTTTCTTACTGAATTTTTATTAGTATGATTGGAAACAAACAGATGTGTCTTAATTTGTTAATTAAATATATTGCCCTTAATTAAAGTTTCGTTATTACAATTAAAACGCAGAGATTAGTGTATAAAAAGTTAAATATAATTGATATACCTTCAACCTTTTCCTCAGCAGTGTCAGAAATATTTTCAGAAGAGTCTGAAGTGCTTAAAGCTGTGTTTGTTACTGAATCTACGAAGAAAGTTAGTAAAGACATTAAAGAATAGGAAAAAGAAACAACAATACCGCATGCAGTGCAACATAAAAGCTAAAACTAAACTACGCTAAGCCAATATTAACTAAAGAAAAAAGCAACATGAAATCCCTATACTCCCTTTTCAGGTGAAAAGGCAATTATAATTGAAGCGATGCTACAAATTATAAATATACTATATATTTTATGAGAGAGCGATCGGTTGAAAGCTGTTTATCGTTTATCATTTACGTTACATTCATTTGATATGAATCGATTGCAGAGGAAATATACCTCGTGTGTTCATAAGGCAAACTTTTTACTGAAAAAATATAATGGAGGAATTGGAAATACATATACTTTTTTAAATATTTTATAATTTCTAATATTGTGATGGAAAATGACATCATATTTTAATGAAGTCTGTGACTCTGTATTATTCTCTTTATCTGTATGGTTCTTTTCGGTACCTCGTCCCTGGCCATAGACTTATGAATCGATGGCATAGAGTTTCGACTTTCACAAGTGCCTAGACTGAATAAATGATTTGATTTTATTATAGATTATACAGACCTATACAAACATGTTGGTGTAAGTTTACAAAATCAATAAGACAAATCAACGGTATGTTAGTTAGTATTTTAGCAACTATTTTCAAGGAAATGAAAGCGTAATTAGACGGGATAATGACAAAAAAACATATTTTAAAAGCTCAATATTAATGAATGTAATTTATAGTCTAATATACGAGGGTCAAACTGAAAGTTCTTAGAACTGGCCACTTATAAACAATATAATAAAAAAATAATTCTAAAATTTGAAAATATAACTCTTTGCCAATATTACTGAGTATATATTTCATTCATTTGTCATTTGTTTTACGATTCGGCGGCAAATTGAAAATTGTCTGTGTCACGTCATCATGAATTTAACACGAGAAAATTTTCGTGCAATGATTTTTTATGACTTTCGATGTCATTTAAGTCAACAAGAAAGTTATGATAGACTACGATTGGCCTTTCACGATGAAGCCCCATCTCGTGCGACTGTTTACAACTGGTTTAATGAGTTTAAACGTGGTCGCACTAATCTCACTGATGATTTACGTGAGGGACGGCCTTCTACGGCGACGACTGAAGATAACATCTGTGTTGTGCGGCGTATGATAGAGACTGACAAAAGAGTGACCTATCAACAGATTCGGACAAGCTTAGGCATCGGTATGAGTCAAGTGCACAAAATCCTCCACGAACATTTAGCGGTCAGGAAGCTTTGCGCCCGGTGGATACCTCATAATTTGACTGAGGCTCAAAAACTCCATCGTGTGGATTGGTGTCGTAAAATGATTGAAAGATTTAACGGAGGTGACTCAAATGCTGTGTTCGACATACTAACAGGTGACGAAAGCTGGATTTACTGTTATGATCCTAAAACCAAAAGACAATCTGCTCAGTGGGTGTTTCCTTTCGAGGAGTTGCCAACTAAAGTGAAGAGAGATCGAAGTGCGGGAAAAAAAATGGTGGCCTCGTTCTTTGGAAGGATAGGTCATTTTGCAACAATTGTGTTAGAGGATCAAAAAACAGTTTCTGCAGAATGGTACACTGCCAATTGTTTGCCACTTGTCTTGGAAAAAGTTCGAGAGAAACGACCTCGCAGTAGGATCCTCCTTCACCACGACAACGCCTCGTCGCACACCGCCAAGCGAACGATCGACTATTTGGCGACATCAAACGTTGAATTACTGGGTCACCCGCCGTATAGCCCCGACCTCGCGCCTTGTGATATTTTTTTAATTCCAAAAATTAAAGAAAAACTTAAAGGAAAGCGGTTTATGAATGCTGAAGAAGCGGTGGCTGCGTATCGCGATGCCATTGAAGAGACCCCTAAGGACGAGTGGGCAAAGTGCTTTTCCCAGTGGTTCCATCGCATGCAGCGGTGTATTGACGTGAATGGACAATATTTTGAAAAGATATAATAAAACTAATAACTGGCTAATGTAATCAGTTTTTGATTTTCTAAGAACTTTCAGTTTGACCCTCGTATACCTTTAGCAGTTCCTACAAATGCTGTGCTTTTTTCGAAAGCTGATGATGCTACATTTTTAGTGGTATCTACTGTGGCTGATACAGTGTTTGCAACAGTATCTACAATAAATTATACAATATGAATAAAGAAACAAATGAGTTTAACTAATTCACTTTGGTACTTGGATATACCTTTAGCGGTTCCTACAAAAGCAGTGCTTTTTTCTACAGCAGATGCTGCAGCACTTTTCGTACTGTCTACTGTGGCTGATACAGTATTTGCTACGGTATCTAAAATAAATTATTCAAAAATAAAAATTTCAAATAAAATGGTTATTATAACAAAAATTATATTGAATTACTGTGAAATACCTTTGGCAGTTCCTACAAAAGCGGTGCTTTTTTCTACAGCGGAGGCTGCAGCATTTTTGGTACTATCTACTGTGGCTGATACAGTGTTTGCTACACTATCTAAAATAAATCGATATATATAAACAAACCAAATAATAAATAAAGAAATACCTATCTAAGTATAACTATTAATTACTTGGAAATACCTTTGGCAGATCCTACAAAAGCAGTGCCTTTTTCTACAGCGGAGGCTGCAGCATTTTTAGTACTATCTACTGTTGCTGATACAGTGTTTGCTACAGTATCTAAAATAAATCGTAAGAAATAAACATAATAAATAATAAAAGACGACCTATCTCCTACTATTATTTATTTAGCAATACCTTTGGCAGTTCCTACAAAAACAGTGCCTTTTTCTACAGCAGATGCTGCAGCATTTTTCGTACTATCTACTGTGGCTGATACAGTATCTACAATAAAATGATGAAAAATATGTCAATAATTATAACAAAGCAAATTAAATTCTTTAAGCTAGTGGTATAGCGTGGACTAATCTAGACGTGGGCGAAAGCGCAAAAGAGCCCAGTTTTTTTCAGTACATGTAATATATTCTACTGATTCTTGTGTAGTTTAATTTAATTATTGTTGATCTATTATTTTATCATATTATTTTCTTTGGAAGTAGTTAAGTCAAAATCGCCTAAAGCCAATATAAATAAATCGCCACTATTGGAAGTAATAAATATGATAATACCTTTAGCTGTTCCTACAAAAGTGGTGCCTTTGTCTACAGCTGATGCTGCAATATTTTTAGTCGTGTCTACTGTCGCGGAAACAGTGCTAACTACACTATCTACAATTAACACAAAATAATATATAAAACTTGTAAATTTCATTGATGATGTCTATGTGATGAAGATGTTCATTAAATAGTATACCTTTAGCATTGCCTGCGAAAGTGGTGCCTTTCTCAACAGCGGCTGCAGCTACATTTTTTGTTGTGTCTACAGTAGCTGATACTGTGTTTGTAACCGTATCTACAATGAAGTATTGCAATGAATAGGTAAATCATAATATGCAAAAAAAGCAAAAGTACTATTTAAGGAGTGATTAAGCTCTCTACCTTTAGCTGTTTCTACAAACGCGGTGCCTTTCTCAACAGCGGCTGCGGCAACATGTTTTGTTGTATCTACAGTGGCTGATACTGTGTTTGCAACCGTGTCTACAATAAATTAACGAGTTGAAAAATATATATTCAAAATCATTGTCCAAAACTATGTAACCGGTTTAAGCTGTATACCTTTAGCTGTTCCTACAATTGTAGTGCCTTTCTCAACAGCGGCAGCAGCCACATTTTTTGTTGTATCTACAGTGGCTGATACCGTGTTTGTTACCGTATCTACAATTAATAAACATAATAATCAAAGACAAATGAAAAAGAACTGAAATATAATAGTGATTTAGCTCTACCTTTAGCTGTTCCTACCAAAGTGGTGCCTTTCTCAACAGCGGCTGCAGCTACATTTTTTGTTGTATCTACAGTGGCTGACACTGTGTTTGTTACGGTATCTACAATAAATTAACGCAATGATAAAAAAAAAAAAAAATTATAAAAAAGAACTGCATTATAACAGTGATTTAGCTCTACCTTTAGCTGTTCCTACCAAGGTGGTGCCTTTCTCAACAGCGGCTGCAGCAACATGTTTTGTTGTATCTACAGTGGCTGATACTGTGTTTGTTACGGTATCTACAATAAATTAACGTGATGGTAAAAAAAAAAATATTTAAAAATAATAAATAAAACTGCAATATAAGTGATTTAGCTCTACCTTTAGCTGTTCCTACCAAAGTGGTGCCTTTCTCAACAGCGGCTGCAGCTACATTTTTTGTTGTATCTACAGTGGCTGATACTGTGTTTGTTACGGTATCTACAATAAATTAACGTGATGGTAAAAAAAAAATATTTAAAAATAATAAATAAAACTGCAATATAAGTGATTTAGCTCTACCTTTAGCTGTTCCTACCAAAGTGGTGCCTTTCTCAACAGCGGCTGCAGCTACATTTTTTGTTGTATCTACAGTGGCTGATACTGTGTTTGTTACGGTATCTACAATAAATTAACGTGATGGTAAAAAAAAAATATTTAAAAATAATAAATAAAACTGCAAGATAAATGATTTAGCTCTACCTTTAGCTGTTCCTACCAAAGTGGTGCCTTTCTCAACAGCGGCTGCAGCTACATTTTTTGTTGTATCTACAGTGGCTGATACTGTGTTTGTTACGGTATCTACAATAAATTAACGTAATGGTAAAAAAAAATATTTAAAAATAATAAATAAAACTGCAAGATAAGTGATTTAGCTCTACCTTTAGCTGTTCCTACCAAAGTGGTGCCTTTCTCAACAGCGGCTGCAGCTACATTTTTTGTTGTATCTACAGTGGCTGATACTGTGTTTGTTACCGTATCTACAATTAATTAACGTAATATAAAAATTCGTTAAAAAGATTCCCAAAAAACTATGTAACAGTAATTAAGCTCTCTACCTTTAGCGGTTCCTACAATTGTGGTGCCTTTTTCAACAGCGGCCGCAGCTACATTTTTTGTTGTATCTACAGTGGCTGATACAGTGTTTGCTACAGTGTCTAAAATAATATCAATGTACAGATTTTTAACAAAACTATCGGATTATAAAACAAGCAAGTACTATTTTGAGATCATTTATTACCACTTTATAGAAATAAAAATCAACAAAGAAAATAAAAGCTGGCATACGGATATTCTAATTTACCTTTAGCACTGCTAACGTACGTTTTTCCCGTGTCTACAGTTGAGCTTACTACATTTTTTGTTGTGTCAACAGCGGTCTGAACTGTATTTTGAACAGTATCTACAAGAACATATAAAAAATAAATAAAATTAATGTGCAAGTAAACGGAAAAACTAATAAAGTTTTAAAGGTTTTTCGAACCTACCTTTGGCTGAATTGACGTACGATTTACCTACTTCGACAGTGTTTTGAGCAGCTGTTTTTGTACTATCTAGTGTGCTTGTTACTGTATCTAAAAGTGACATTAACGAATTAAAATAATAAATAAAGAAAACGAAAAACCAACTTCAAACAAAAAAACTTGGATATTAATAAAAAACAACTACAAATGCGTGTGAAAACTAAAAAACACTATTAACATCGAACACAAAAGCATTTGTCTTGGCAAATGTATATTTTAATTTAAGCGTATTATGTTCTCTTTTAATTATATCTTTCGTAATCATCATCAATCAGCAATCTAGTGCCTACCTTTAGCGCTATCAAAATAGGATTTGCCAACATCATAAGCAGAATACGCGGCGGTCATCGACGCATCTAAGGCCGTTTGCAGCGAGCTTTGGGCAGTGTCTAAAGCATTTGTTATTTATAACATGAAAAACATATATTTAACAACATTCACAATAACTTGTTAATCACAAACATAGCTATTGGCACACACATACAACTCAAACTACAGTCTGTGTACCTTTTGCTTCATCAGCAGCGGTTTTAGCTGCCTTTTGTGTACCGTCTACAGTCTTACTAACCGTATTAGAAACTGAATCTATAAATACATCAAGTAATTTATTAATTAATCTTTTAAAATCGATCATTATAAAAGCTAAAATATTATTATATTTTTTGATAATTCCATTTAGTGTTTGTTGTTTACCTCTCGCAGATGTAGCGTATGTTTTGCCAGTTTCTACTGCTGACTGTGTCAACTTTTGTGTTGTATCTACAGTACTATGAACGGTATTGGCAACAGTATCTACAAAACGAAACACATATTAGACTATTATACTGATGCAATAATAACAAAACTTTTGATTTCTTTTAATAGTTCTGTAATAAGTACCTTTGGCACCGACAGCGTATGATTTTCCAGTATCTATGGCAGATTGCGCAGTTTTTTGTGTAGATTCTATGGCGCTTGCTACGGTATCTAATAATGTGCAAAAATAATAAATAAGCATTATAAACTACAAATAGAACAGAACCGTTTCACATAAAATAAAATAAAATTCATAATTTCCAAACGTCAACGTCAACCCATACCTACGCGAGAACTATTATACATATGCACAGAAATTTGGCAAGCATTTTGTAAACACTATTCTGCTAGAGAATTCGCATGAATTTCCTACCAATATTATTAACTCCGGGTATACTACATGCATTTTAACTTATTTAGCTATGTTAACTACTGTAAGTTGCAACTTCATTCTACAATATTTTGTGCAAGAACATTAGTAAAGGAAAGTAAGAAAGTACAAGAAGTGTTGATTAGAGAAAAATTAAGACTTAAAATTTTTTCTTACCTTTGGCTGTGTTGACTGCCGTTTCAGCAGCTTTCTTTGTGTTATCTACTGTAGTTGCGAGTGTATCTAAATGTAAAGAAATAAAATAAAACAAGCGGAATTTAGGAAAAAAGTGCTTCCAAACGAATTGATAACAAACGCTAAAAGAAATTATAATATTGACAACCTAACTACTTTAATCAAAATGGCTGACGTACCTTGACTCCTTTTAAATCTTAATATTAATCCATCCTTACCTTTTGTTGTGTCGACAACTTTCTTCCCATCAGCGACCGCCTTGTTCGCAGCATCTTTTGCTTCGCCAGCAGCTAAAGATACTTTAGACAGTTCTTTGTCTAAAGCATCGATGGCCGATTGTTTTGTAGCGGCAGCTGTAAAATATAAAAAAGAAATTTGTATCCAGAGAAATATTTTTCATTGCCTACTGGTTAATTTCTGTTTTTGCTTTAAGAGAACTATCAAATGAGTCAGCATTCAGGATATAAAGATCACCGAGTAACCCCTTTATTTATATTCGACCGTGGCCTGCATAGGATCCAAAACTTCTAAAATTACATAATCTAACTAGCTTTTCGCCAGCAATTTCACCCGTATGGTCCCTAGGATACCGTTTATATGGATATGGATTCATATAACATAGATATAATTAAATAGTAATTAAGTAGTATAATTAAATAATAGTAAATAATGGTTACTATGGCAAGATTTAATTCCCCATATAAACTTCTATTCGCATTTTCTTCCGTTTATTTGCTGTTTTTCGAGATGAAATATAGCCATTGGTCACCGAACATGATGTAGCTTCCCGTAGTTGGAATATTTTTTAAAAATCAGTCTATTAGTTTCGGAGTCTGCACTCGCTGCAACAATCAAATCGTTTCTTTTTATAGTATTAATATAGAAAAGTCTTTTTTACGAAGTCCATTCGACAATGATCGTAATTGTTTTCTTAATAAAACAATATTAAGATGACGCGTAGGTATATCAGTATTTACCTACATGTGCTATCACCACTTCACCCGTACAAATTTTAAAACAGTAGTTTCGAAGCCTATTCAATGAAAAAAAAAACAATAAAATTTTTCATCTTTACAATATTAGTATAGAAAACCAGACTATAATGATATAATAAGATGTATCCACCAAAAATTATAAATTGTTTGATGTTAACCTGCAATCAAGAAAAGTTATCGACCCCTGACCTGTGAATAAATGCGTGTAACCTAATCTAAATAAAGAAAAAGAGTAAAGTATAATTATCAACGACGACTGGCCAAACACGAGACATGCGTGTGACTCACGGATCACGCATAAAAGAAACAAAACACATTCCAAAAAAGGACTGCGTTGAAGTCCCAAATATTATCTTAATTGTTATTGCGCAATAAATGTCAAAGTAAAGGTTAAAACAATAAGAATAGATAATACTAATGGACACGACGATTAACTTCCATAACGTTAAATACTAAGAAAAATGTTACGTTGATTTAAGAATTTGTATATTTATCTATACTAATACGTATAAAGGGGAAATATTTGACAACTACTTTGTGAACGAAAAGAGAAGCCTGTTCATCATGCTTTAACGTCATAGAGAACAGAAGGGGATGATGACGAAGATGATAGGACACTTGTTGCGACACGATAATTTTTTTTTTATTTATTTATTTACAATGGGCTCACTTGACCTCAATCTAGCCTAAAGACATAGATGAGATCTACGGTGGGATGAGCTTGCTCAGAGGGAACCTATTCAGTCTTCCTTAAATAGGTCTGGGTTATATACACTCAGGAATATACACGCAGGCAGGGAGTTCCATTCCTTGGCAGTGCGCAGTAAAAAAGATGAAGAAAAGCGCTTTGTACGACATCTTGGGATATCAACTAAGTGAGGATGGTATCCCGCCGTGAATAATATGAATATAATATTATAGAAGGCAAAATAGGAGGGAAAAGAGAAAGAAGACCTAGGCGAAGCGAAGCGAACAAGTGAAAGATAAAGTAAACATCGTGTACCAAGGAGTCAAGTCAACTGCCGAGTATAGGAAACAATGAAAATTATTCCACCGACAAGAGTGGCACTCTTAAATATTATGGACGAATTTTTAAAATCCGGTCGTAGTTACCGAGTCTGTCTATCTATAACTTACTGACCTCGACCAAAAATTTACTACCCGTGCTTCGGAAGGCCCTTAAAACATTCATAGGAAAGGCCTGTGCCCCAGCAATGGGGACATTATTAACTGGTGATGATGAAACAGTATTAAAAATTGACCAATCTGAATGCCTGTCAAATTCACCCCTTCTGGACGAGGTTTAAGATACTACAATATTTGAATCTTTGAATACACATTGTAACAGCGTTTTTATAGTTGTATGAAAACGCGACCTTACCTGAGTTGGCAGCTTCTTCAGCGGTTTTCGTGGCGCCGGTGACTAGCTCTCCGGTCTTCTTGACCTGGTCTTCCACTACATGTGCGGCCTCCTGCACCTTCTCCGAGGCGACTTGTTCGGCATCCTTCTTCTTTCGCTCAAACAGTGAAGCCGTCTTCTCTCCGATGCTTCGGAAAGCACCTGATACAAATTCGGAATTTTAGTTTTTGTGTTTAAATTTAAATGTATTTTAGCATGCCACAACGAGTCATTTATCTCATAATAAATAAATAGGTACAAAACGTAAATCAAGATTTCTAAAGTTAAAACACTGGTAACATTTAAATATTTTTAGAGTAGACGCGTAGAGTAGTTTGTCTATAATCTATAGTCCAGTTACGTACTTTCATTTCATTTATTTTCACCCCACATTGTGTATCCGAAAGTTATTTTTTTTAAATGCACTTTTGTCTGCAAATTTACAACAACAAAAACTTTCTTTTTAATTTAATCTCTGTAGTTTTGCTTTGGGTTAAAATTATCTCTCGAAAACTATCAACAAAATTAAATTTCGACCATTTTTTTTTCGACTTTTTTAAATAAAAAAAATACAATTTGTCTCAAAAAAGGCTCACTTTCGGATACATAATGTGAGGTGAAAATAATTGTAAATTACCTCCTCTACGATCCCTTAAAAGGATCCGGTCTAATTACCCATAACCCTGTATATCTGTCCTATTGATGTGTGAAGAAGACATTGAACTTATAATATTGAACTATAGGTAGATAGTACAATTTTAAATGCAAATAAGTCAGATTATATTAAGATGCTATTATTACGTACCCATTAGAAATTTTCGTACATGACCCGGCATCACATGATCTCTTAACGATTATGTAACTCACAAATGATTCTAGCCAATGTTGTTATTACTATAATCTAAGTAAACCTCAACGGTATTATTAATAAACAATGTTTAGTGTTGGAGTAAATTTACGATGAGACTGCACTTAGTATTAGTCAACCTTCAAATTATTAAACGGAGACTTAGCAAAGGTTAACCTAGTACGAGATTCTACAGGAGTAACATTTACTCCTAGAAGGTAGAAGGTTTGCTTATTCTCTGTATAATATAAATTTGGACTAATATTAAAATTGCAATTTTAGCGTAAATTTACTCTGATGCTAAACCTCGTTTATTAATAGCACTGAAAATGTATAAGATAAGACTAATAGGCACAAAGGCCAACGTACGAAATTCTCTCGGTTTAACGACTTGACTATGGTTGCATATCTTTTGAACAAAATGCACAAACTAAACTGATATTAAATTCAATTCCTGTTATTTCCGTCAAAATGCAACCTGTGACATTTTAATTTTAGCTGTCAAAGAGTAATTCTCTTAACTTAAGATATTATAATATACAGCAGGATAATTATATGTATTTTATTACATAAAGTAATAAAAAATACAAAGGAATCTTTTTAGTTTGTAAGAAATTCTAGATTTTTGTCATTTATACCTTAACCTAAATGGTCCCACGGAGTCTTTGATTCCCACGTGAAATACGACCGATTCGATTGGCATTTATATTCTTTTGGAATTTTAAACTTTTTTGCCGACTACATTTTTAGGAAATTTGAGAATGCTTTTCAGAATATCTTAAAAAGTCATCGAAGGTTTCTTAGGAACGTTTTCATGTAACGGTTATGGTTAAAAGTAAAGCGTTAATTTTAAAACTTCTTACATCCAAGTACTATATCAGTAAACTAAGAAAAGTGTCAAAAGTAAGTGTATATTATGATTTAAAAATTATTACAATAAAATTTAAAAAAAAAGCCAAAACAATATTCTGCACTCCTTCTTCAAAACTTTAAACTGTGCCAAATTTCATACTCATTCGACCGTGCAATTTTCGGTGTCCCAAATGAGCCAAAAAGGACCCCGCCCTTGCCTTATGGAAATTGGCTTTCTGTCAAATCGGATGAAACTATGATGAATGGATAGAGGAAGTCTTCCTGAGTAAAAGTCCTCATGGGCACTAAGCCCGAAAATCGAAACTTTTAGTACTTTTGGGCATTCGAAGTTTTTGATTTTGGATTCTAGCAAAATCAATAAATCCTTGTAGAATCGGCCCAAAGTTCAATTAGACATAAAAGAAAAAATACGTATCGAATATTTTTTCAAGACCTTTCGAACGACACCCTATTTGACCCCCCCCCCCCCACTCCCCCACCTACGGGGGTGGAAGGGGAGCGGTTTTTTGCGAAAAAGTTCTTTTATAATGGGACACAGACATTCAAGTAAAAGGTTAACAAATGTCACTCAATTCTTGTTTGTTTTGTTATCAAATATAAGGATAAATATGAAAAGGCATGATGGTCGTATTTATTTTTATGCCATTGTAATCTACCCACATTTTAAGCAATATTATATGATAAAAAAACTAATCACTAACCAATCCTTAGAGATCAATACTAAATATAACAATATAGCAATAAGTATAATTCAATTGTCCTTCTGTAAGTACAAACCGGTATCTGCATGTATAATAATGACAGTGTTGCGGTTTTGGTATCGAAATTTCGTCTTTAATTATGAAATTGACAGGGATGTGGCAATGACAGAATACAATCAGCGACATGTCAGGTTATGCGAGGCTACCGATCTTCTTCGTTTTATATTAAACCTTAATGTATTAGAGGTACAGCTCAGGAATAACTACAAAAGTTTGACATATTTCTGTGACTTGACGCATTGCTGTGTGTGCGGCGGGAATGTTTGTTATTGTACTTGTGAATTGTGTACTACATCGATGGAATGGTTGCGTTTAACAAATAATGAAATCTCATGTATTCTTATGAACCATTTTTATTTCATAATTGGCAATAAACGAAATAATGACAATATTATTTTATTTAATTCTATTGTATTACAATCAAAACAAAGCATGGAATTGTATATAAATCTTGTTCGCATTATATGCATGAGAGGTAAATATTCATTGCATGTTCGACGTAATTTAAAATCTATGTACTACACTTACACTTGCTCCGCCCCAATTTCGGGACCGTATGCCGATACATTCTCATTTTCGATAAGTAATAATGGTGTCCTATCAAGTTATGACAAAAAATGTTTGATAAAATGAATCAATTGGAAATGTACTACCAAAACGTACGCGGGCTTAGAACAAAATGTCTAGAACTTTTCTATAATGTAAGTGGTAGTAATCTTGACGTATTTCTATTTACGGAAACATGGCTTCAGGATGACATTTTTAGTTCTGAGTTGTGTGACGGTAGGTACGATGTCTTCCGTGTGGATCGTGACTTACAGAATAGTAGAAAAAGTACTGGCGGAGGAGTCATGGCTTTTGTGCGGGGTACATTGGGTGCATATCAGAATTATAGCTTCTCAACTAAGTTTAATACAGAGTTGCTATATATATCAATACCAGCAAAAAATATTAATAAGAAATACAACTTAAATATTATACTTGTCTACCTTACCCCTGATTATGCTATTATCCCTGCACAATTACAGGAGCTTAATTTATTCATCAGCAGTTTGATTGTACGGTCACCAAATGATATATACCTTTTAATAGGTGATTTTAATCTCAGATGCCTACGATGGACGGATGACAGTTACGAACTGCTTCATAACATATCATTGAACATGCAAAATGCCTCTCAAGCGTTTATACAAAATTTAGCATATGCAGGTTTAAGTCAATATAATCGAGTTGTTAATAATAATGAACGCACACTTGATCTAGTATTCAGTAACCTTGATTCTATGGTGACTAAAGCTCTCTCGCCTGTTATAAAAGAAGACGCTCACCATCCGTCACTCCTTATAACCATAACGGATTTGTTTACCAAGCCATTGCGTGAATTAAATGTTTCCCGACGAAACTTTCATAAATGTAATTACGACATCATTGACGAGTTTCTTTGTGGATTTGACTGGGATACGCTACTTAGTGATATACCTGTGGATGAAGCTCTGAAGAAATTTTACAACATTCTAAATGATTGTTTTAACAAATATATTCCCCTTATAAATGTCAGCAACACTAAGAGGAAGTATCCAGTCTGGTATAGCATGGCTCTAATAAAAGTGATACGCGAGAAAAGCAAATTTCACAAAAAATTTAAGCTCTACGGTAATCCTCGCGATTATGATACCTTTTCTATGTTGCGAAAGAGGGAGCATACATTGAAAAAACACTGTCACAATAAATATATAATTAGCGTTGAACAAAAACTTTGTATTAATTCTAAAGTTTTCTGGTCATACATAAAATCCAAGCGTGGTGGCTCCCACTATCCCAACCATTTTACTTATCGAAACTTAATATTGACAGAAGGCCCCGCCATATGTTCCAACTTTAACGATTATTTTCAAAGTATGTTTACTCAGACAGTTGCGCATAATGACAGTGATCGGTTTGTTAAAGATGACAATTGCGCGGACATTTTGACGCGACTCACCGTGACAAAAGAGAGAGTGGAAGGGTTACTTAGAGCACTTAATGTTAATAAAGGATCTGGATTCGACGGTGTGCCTCCTTTGTTTCTTAGAGGTTGTGCCAAATCTTTGGCTCATCCCATATCTTTGCTATTTGAGCTGTCTCTGAAGCAGTGTGTTTACCCTGATACTTGGAAAAAGGCTCATATTATTCCTGTGCACAAAAAGGGGTCTAAACAAAATATATGTAACTATCGTCCTATCTCAATCTTGAATACCTTGAGTAAAATATTTGAAATAATCATATATGACTCTATTTACCCCGCAATTGTTCAAGGTATATCACACCATCAACATGGTTTTCTTAAACATAAATCAACGATTTCAAATCTTGCTGAATTTAGTAATTACGTCCTGTGTGGGATGGAAGACTGTGGTCAGGTTGATGTGATCTACACAGATTTTGAAAAAGCTTTTGATCGTGTGGATCACATCATCCTACTCAACAAACTTTTTAGTCTTGGTATTAGGGGAGACTTGTTGAGATGGATCACTTCCTATCTCAATAATCGATCGCAAGCTGTGGTAATGGGTGGTTTCAGATCGGACTTCATTAGAATCACTTCTGGAGTTCCTCAAGGATCCCATTTGGGTCCGTTACTTTACTGTGCTTATATTCATGATATTCATCAATGTTTCCAGGGTTCAGAGCATCTTCTTTATGCTGATGATAAAAAAATATACTTGAAAGTAGCATCGGCTTCGGACTGTGAAATTATTCAACGTGACCTAAACCGCTTATACGAATACTATAAGAATAACAACATCACCATAAATATAAGTAAGTGCCAATGTATCAGTTTTAGTCGCAAGAAGCAGAGTTTTGGTTATCCTTATAATTTTAATGGCATGCTTATCAAAAGAACGGAAAACGTGAGAGATCTTGGAGTTCTTTTCGACTCTAAAATGTTGCTTTCAAGTCATGTTGATCATATTAGCAATAAAGCATATCGTAATTTAGGCTGGATGATGAGGAACTGTAAACCCTTCAAAAACGTTAAGAGTCTTAAGGTAGTATATTATGCATATTGTCGAAGTGTTCTTGAATATGCCAGCCCGATCTGGAATCCCCAATACTCCATTTACATTAATAGGTTGGAGTCCATACAAAAGAGGTTCGTGAGACATCTTAACTATAAGACATGCAGGCGTAGTCAAACTTATGAAGAGGATTGTAAATACTACAATCTCCTTCCTCTCTATTGTCGTCGTGATGTGATCGACTTGTGCTTGCTCCATGATATTTTGCATAACAAGCTTGATTGCTCCCGTCTTCTAGAGCTTATTGGTTTTTGCATTCCAAAGACCCGTACAAGACACACTCCGTTGTTCCATGTACCCAAACATCAAACTAATTACGGAAGCAATGCTACAATTACCCGATTGCTGAGAACCTATAATAAAAAATATCAGAATATAGATATCTTCAACGTCAGCAAATATTCAATTAAAAAAAATTTAAAAAATATGTTTAATACAGGAAACACTTCTGAATAATAGCATTTCTTTCTATAGCAAATATTTAACTGTGGTGTGTGTATATCCAATTAATTAATACAACCTCTTAAAATTCTCTGTGTATGTTGTGCATTTGTGGTGTGTTCCACGGTGCCCGTTGTACGTGCAATGTGCATGTTGATTCTCGCAGCTATACAATGTACACATTCGTGTGTTCATGTGTGTGTATTATCAATGCACTCATGTGTGGCATGGATGTGGTGATGTGTTGGTTGCGTTGTGTTATATGTCCGTGTATTTGTCAGTTTCGGTATGTGGTATCTATATATTTATAAACATATAAACATAAACATAAATAAGAACATATAAGAAATTACCGTGTGCTTGATATTGCCTCAAATTTTATATAATGAAGTACTAAATGAGTGAATCTGTCTCCTTGTGCGGGTGTGTTTTTTGTATTTATTATCTTTTATTTGGATTTCATTTTTGTAATTAGTCGAAAAAGTTAGCTATTTTTATCAGTTGTGTAACTCTGTAATTGGCTTAAGTTACTTTCGCATCACATTATTATAGTATGTATTTATAAATAAGCTGTGGAGTTTCTGAATAATAAAAAAAAAAAAAAAAAATAATGTTATAATGGCCTCATGATTGACGGAACACTTGAGCCGTGCCCGATCGACCCCCCCCCCTCACCCACCCACCACACGCGGGGGCGGAGGAAGAGAAGGGATAAAAGAACTTTTTCGCAAAAAACCGCTCCCCTTCCACCCCCGTAGGTGGGGGAGTGGGGGGGGTCAAATAGGGTGTCGTTCGAAAGGTCTTGAAAAAATATTCGATACGTATTTTTTCTTTTATGTCTAATTGAACTTTGGGCCGATTCTACAAGGATTTATTGATTTTGCTAGAATTCAAAATCAAAAACTTCGAATGCCCAAAAGTACTAAAAGTTTCGATTTTCGGGCTTAGTGCCCATGAGGACTTTTACTCAGGAAGACTTCCTCTATCCATTCATCATAGTTTCATCCGATTTGACAGAAAGCCAATTTCCATAAGGCAAGGGCGGGGTCCTTTGTCATGTATTTAATTAAGATATTTATTTTAAAAATTAAGTTCGCACCCTTAACCCTGTTTATAGAAGGTTAACACTCATTTTCACTAACCTAGAACAAGGAATAGCTTATCTAGGAAACGCCTAATATTATGAATTACCTAAGCAGATAAGTTTAATTACAAATAAATTTCTTTTTCTTTTATCTCTTGAATTATTTATGACCTAGCGCATAACGAATAGCATAACTTTAGACATTGCTTTATTTCATTAGGTGGTTCCTAGACAATGGTGAAATGCAATTTTACCTTAGGCGATTCCTAAATATTTTGGCAACAGATTTAGGCGACTCCTAAGTTTCTTGTTTTGTTAACATATAAAAATAATACAAGGATACCAGCTCCGTATTTTAGATTTTTTGTTAAGTTTGCTACTACATCAATACCGTGAACAAAGGTGTAGTACCTACCTACCTGCTATTACTTGGACGAAATTTATTTTCCTCTTTTTAATCCAAAAAAAAATTATTTAGTTAGGTGTACTATATCTTTGATTTTGATTGTTAAGAGTTAGTAAATTAGTTTATTACTTGACTATAAGGTATATAAACCTTATATGATTTTAATAAAAAAAAAATGTACTACTATATATTTGTAATAAATTATATTTAACAGACTTCAAAAAAAGGAGGTTCTCAATTTGACCTGTATGTATATATGTTTGTGCGCGATTATCTCGCGTTTGGCTGAACCGATTTGATGCGGTTTTCAGTATAGTATTTGTCAGACTTAAGAGAAGGTTTTAGCTATTTTAACCAACAAAAAAAATGAGGTTTGCACTTTAATAAGTGTTGTATGTATTGTCCGCGATTATTTGGTGTTTGGTATTTTTAGTATAACCTATTATATAAAAATAACAATATCACTAAAAAGCATGAAATAAAAACTTTAATAAAAAAAAACCGAATACGAACTTATAATAGTGAAAATAATACTTATCTCTAAAGAGAATTCAAGAAAATGCTATTGAAGCCGGGAG